CCAGCCCCCACTCCTAGAGAAAACCACTCTCAGTCAAGCATGTTTATAATCCTTAAATCTTCAATGAGGCTGCTTCTAAACAAGTGAAAAAAAAAATCTATGTCCTCTCTTTGATGTGTATTTTCTCTTAACTCCAAGAACATCATGGTTGCATGCACTACGGGCACAGGCTTTCCTTGTGTAATTGTGATTCCCATACAGCTGCAGATGTCAAGATGAGCCACCTCTCTGCCTGATATAGCCCAGAAACTTCCTTCCCTTTTCTAATGGGAATACTAGACTTTTTTACAAATTTATTTTAGTAACACTCTGATGTATTTCAAAAAGGTAGTTGTGTTTGTCTCCTGTGCACTAGGGGAAAATATTTTTGGGGAAAACTGGAAAAAGTTTTGGAGAATTTACTAGGAAGAATGGTGAAATGTATACTTTTCTTCTGAAGAAAGAGCACAGATTTTACAATACTGCTATATGGACTGTGTCAGGGAAAGTTCAAGAAGTATGCAAAATTCCCTGCACAGGGCTAATTTCCACCAAAATAAAACATCAGCAATAGAATGTATTTTTTTAAATTTTTTTATCTGCTGAAATTTTCTGTCAAACTAGAACAGCAATGAAAATTACGGACAAATATTTGTTAGTATATTTATGATTTCCCCTCCAACCATTTTGATTTTTGATCATGTTTACAAGAGAAGACCTAAAACATTTCTTGTAGAGGATCCAGTTAGTGGAATAGTCACATTAACTTTCCAGAATGCTTCTCTGATGACCAAGACAGGTCAGAACATCAAATATGAAAATATCATTTCATAATTTTTAGAAAATCCCTAAAATACGGAGCTAAATTTATGATAAAGTGAAAATTCTCATTTTTTTTCAAATTACTTATTACTCTTTTTATTGTGAAAGCAAAGTTTTTATAATAGCAATAGACTGATCTTTGCTACTAAAAAGATAAAGCTGGAATTATAAACACAGACAACATACAACCCTGTAACTCAATGCCATGCTTACAATGACAAAGTCCCAGTGCCTACTCTAGCAAAAGTAAAACTAAACTGGCCTATCACTTGTATGAACCACTCAAGCTACTCCAAATTTGTGTGGTGTATGTGCCAATGTCTCCCTTTCTCAAACAGCTCTCTGTGGGTACCCTGGGCTCAGTAATAATCAATAAAAGGATTAAAAGGTAAACAAACTGAATAATGTGAGTTAGCATCTTGATGTATGAAATAACATGCCCTTTGTCACGTGAAATGCTGTTAGCACTGTATCTGGCAAACCAGACAATGCCTGTGAGCAGAATTAAGGAGATGAAAGCGCACCAGGCGCAGATGGCTCGGCGCAGCGCGGGCAGGGAGGCAGTGCTGGGGGCTCTCTGGGAAGGTCCTCTATGGATCAGCTGGAATCAGGCAAGTGCGGCGTACGTGCTCTCTGTTTGTGCTGTGACTGAAATGGTGCGGAGCGACCTGACAGAAAATTGTTCTGAAGTGGAAGCAGATGCATTGAGCTGTCAGGCGCAGAGCCATGACGAGACACCGCGGCGCCAGCAACACACCTTCACGTCTCCCCTATAGCTCTCCCTGAGCCCCCTCCCTCCCCTTCTTGGGCAGCACTGAAGCTCAGGGATATTTTTCTCTGTATGGAGAGGTCCCCAGTCATGGCTTCAGGAGAAGCTGCTTCTTGCACAGACACCTGCAGGGCTGGGAACAATGTGAAGGGCAGTGCAGGGAAATGAAGCTGTTGCTGCTGTCTCACACAGCCTACCCAGGTGAGGCAGAGGTAACAAGAATATCATACCCCATTCTGCTGTCTTAGGCAAAGCTCTGCCTGGATTCAAAGACCTTCCACCTGTGGTGAAACCCTCAGCATCTGTGGGACCAGGGCTGGTGGCAATGAAAAGTGGCATGTGTCAAAATACTGCCAGAATCTTCACAAGCACTTCAGTACCTCATACCATGCTAAGCTTCACTGCAACCATTTCAGCTGGGTCCAAAGTCAAATAGGGTCCACTCCCCCACTGCATCATTCTATTCTGTAAGGGCAATTCCTGTTCAAATGGTGGATAGTCTCATTTACACAATCCATCCATAAAATATATTAGTTTGGTTTAATAATAGGCTATCATCTCTAATTAATCTCAATACCTTTTTTTGTTATTGTCTCAAGTGTTTTGGGGTCTGTGTCAATGCATTATTTCACTTTTGACTACTGGCATGTAAGTCTCCAGGCTCAAGATTAATGACATCTTTCCGTCATTTTTTAAAATTCCCATTTACCAACTTCTCATTTTCTTAATATGAAAAGAAAGTTAGCCTATTAACCAGACCCACAGCAGTGTCAGATCTAGAGGGATTTCTGCTGTCTGTGCCCTTTTATTTTTGGAGTTGAGGAGAGCAAGAGGACAAATAATGGCAAATATCTGGATGGTGCCCCAAGGAAGGGTCTGTTTTCCTGTGTGTGAGTGAAACTTTGTGACTAAAAGCACATGACCTGGGTGCTGAGGCATCTCTCTGTCTCTGCCAGCATGCAGCAGCCGTGTTCTGTCATCCCTCACTGCCTGTAATGAACAGGGCAGCAATGACGAACATTTTCCATGAGAATGGACCTTCCTCCACTTTTGTATGACTCAGTCTTTTCCCACTCATAGTGTTCCTTCCCCTCTTATGGCAAAGTGAAATTCCTCAGGCTGCTCAAAAATGTCCAAACATTGGTCTGGTGGCTGGTGCACCTGCAGGGCTGCTGCACAGTGGCTCAGTTCCCTGCTCTACAGTGTATTTTGGCTGTGTTATTGGATGGGGTATGAATTCCAGCATAGATCAGAATTATGAGGTGATATTAGAGAAAAGGGTCGATGGGATACCTTGCTCTTGTCAATACTCACCAGCACTGAATAAAAGTCTCAGTTCAGTGCAGCATCCTGCAGATAGAGGGGATCCTAGGAGAGCAGGTATTGATGCTTTCATAACCTTATTTTTCAGAAAGGTTTTCTTTATCTGCAGAAAAGGTCATAAAATGAAACATGCGAGTACCATTACAGATCTTGTAATTTTAGACTAAATTAAATTTATTATTTATAACAAATAGTGCTATCACCTTCACCTGAGGGTTAGACTTCTCTTCTTATGGATGGTCTGACTGGGACAAGGAGATTCAAAAATGAAAGATCATTTTCTTCTTGTATTCCTTTTCCATATAAAGGAAATGTCCTCAGAATTGGCAATATTTATGTGTTTCTCTTATATCAGAGAATCTAATAAAACAAATAAAAGAAGATATGAAGATATTGCATCAAGTTAGAGAGATGATGTATATAATGGTTTGATATTAAAATATGTTTTCCTGACTGCATTGTAGATAAAGAGCATTTTTTTATTAATATAATGTCTTAAAATTTGTCATTCAAACCACAGGCTTAGTGACCTTTTTTCAGGTTCTGAAGGTAAATGACAATTACAGATATTCAGCTAATTGATTCTGAACTTTAACACCCTACAGACACAGTAGCCACTGATACATTTGTGGAAAAAAATAACTCCTACTTCCTGCTTTAGTTTTATTGGAAGCCAAGAAAGACATGCTTTGCTATAGAGGCATGCAGAATGGTGTGCTCTAAAGATTTTATGAGTTTGAGCTTTGGAATACTGTCTTACTCATAAGTGATGAAGTCATGAGTAAATCTCTGGTGAGATTGATTCTTTCAGGAAATACAGAAACCTGGTGCTCAGCAGTATCTGATGGAATCAGATCGCAGTGCCTTTAGAAAGAGGATTTTGCCAGTCACATGTTCAATATTTGCAACACACGCTGACACACACATACATATATTATCAGTCGTATATTTATATACATATATATGAGAATATATGTATGAGTGATCATATATGCTTATACAGTGTGTAATTTTAACTGCCTGAATTAATAGAATGTGTATCTGTTAATAACATAAATCGGATTATGACTATCACATGTTTGAGAGGTGGAAACATATGGACAATATATTATATATTATTTTATATATTGAATATATAATATATTAATGTAATATAATATAATATAATATAATATAATATAATATAATATAATATAATATAATATAATATAATATATACTTATTTTCTATATTAGGCATATACATACATATATGTATACAGTATGCACTGTTTTAACTTTCCAAATTAATAGAGTTTTAATTAGTAATTCTGAACAGTATGCTATCTTTCGTATATGTGGTAGAGGCACCTATGCTGCATTTGGTAATGGCAAAATACATACGCTTATACACACATACATATGTAAACATTAATGTATATGTAAAAACATTCATATACATATATATATATGTATATACATATGTATACATTTACACGTACATGTATAGATGTACATGCATACATATAAAGTCCCTAAATTGCGTTTAGATACATGTATTTAAAGACGCTATATGTATCCACAGGCGTATCCATACTGAGTGTGTCAACACTTTAGATTAGTTTATGTAGCTACATATGTATATATTTATATGACTGCATATATATCTCTCTTAGAGTAACCTCGAGCTAGAGGAACACCCCCCGGCTCTGCCTACACCTGCGCAGCCCCGTTCATCCCCGCAGGTGCTGGGGGGCAGGAGCTGGTGCCGGGGTCCCCGCTCAGGCCGCAGCGCCAGGCGGCGGCTGGGACCCGGGACCCGGGGGCAGGCGGCAGCTGGGACTCGGGACACAGGGGCCGGTCCCCCCCGGGCGCTGCCCCGCCTGCGGCCGGCCGGACCCGGGGGCGGCGGGGGCGACTGCAGCGGGGCCGCCGCGCAGCTTGGCCCCGCGGGGGCGGCCCCGGGGGCGGCCCGGGGGAAGCGGAGCGCCGCGGGCGGCTGGAGGCGCCGGCCGGGACTCGCCCAGTCACCGGGGAGGAGGCGGGGCCGCGGCGGCGGCAGGTGCCCGCGGCGCGGGGATGGTGGCGGCGGCCGGCGCGGGGCTCTAGGGCAGCGCAGCGGGGACGCCATGGGCGGCCGCGGCCCCCCGCGCCCCGCCGCGCCTCTGCTGCCGCTGCCCGCGCTGCTGCCCGTGCTGGCCGCGCTGGCGGCCGGCGCCGCGGAGGCGCGGGCCACCTCGGAGGGGCAGCTGCCCGGCGCCGCGGCGATGGGCACCGGCACCCCTCCGAGCCCCAGCGGCACCGCTTTCGAGGAGACGCGGCTCCACGTCTTCACCCTGGACTACCCCCACGTGCAAATCCCCTTCGAGATCACCCTCTGGATCCTGCTGGCCTCCCTCGCCAAGATCGGTGAGCGGGGCCGTGGGCGAGCCTCCCTCCGTGCCGGTGCCTGGCCGGGCCGGCGCTGCCGGGGCCGGCGCGCAGAGCCGCGCTGGGGCGGTCCGTGCCCGGCGCGGGGGGCGCGGGGCGCACGGAGGGGGCCGATGCTCCTCCGCGGAGCGGGATGCTCGGGCGGGATTTGGCCGGAAGAAGTCGGGGTCCTTTCAGTTAGGACAGGTGCGGAGAAGAAAAGAGACGGGTAAACCCGGCACTACGAGGACCGTAAACCCCGGAGTTCACCCGGTGCATGACTGACTTTTTCTTGATTGCTCTGCTGTCATTTGAGTACGGTCTTCTTTTTCTTAAAATAACGCCGGGTATAATGACAGTCTCAAAGCAGAAAAACGGATCGATGAAAAGCAAATATTTATGAGGGTAGAGTATGCCTCCTCCTTACTCTGCTTTTCCACCATTCACTTAAGTCGCGAGAAAAATATAAAAGACAGCACTGTAAGAGTAAGGAAGGCCACCTCTTCCCTCATGTGGAAAACATTTGCATTGCATAGTTTCACTGAGTTTTGTGCAGCTTATATGTCATATTTTTAGTTAGCTTCTATGTCCCAAACAGATAAATGAGTAAAGACTGTCAGGTGATGGTATGCTAGATAGCTATTTAAAATCCAGTAAGTCTCTATGAATTGTGAACTTTGTATCTTCTTACCTAGAAGATAATGTAAGGAGTAAAGTTCTGGGAACAAAATAAGTAAGTTTATCCACATTACAGTTTCATTCAGAACTCTGACTTTGCAGCACAGATTATCATAAAAAACACCATCATGCTCATTCTAATGAAACATTTTTATCGAAGTTAAAACTTTTAACCTCTGCTTGTGACATTTAAATAGACTGTGTCACAATTTGGTTAGTGATCGGGTAATTAGGATTCTGATAAAACAAAAATTTGTACTCATGTCCTGCCATGTCTAACATTGTATCTGGGGGCCTGATCCTTCACCCAAGTAACCTGCTCTGCTACCATAACTTGCTGCAGAAATAATGTGTTGCAGCCATTAAGTGGGCATGCATCCTGATGCATGTGTCTTAATGCCTTAAAGGTGCATGCTTAGACTTAAGTATGTGTGTTCAAATATGATACACTCAAATATACTGTAAAACTTTAATAACCAGGAAATAGGGAGTTTGGTAGAGAATTTAGCCTGTTGAGTACTGGAAATTGCTCTGGCTTCTGAGTTTAGATAAAGTGAAAACTCTTGTGTAAGCTAAAAATATTGAAAAAGTTTCTGTTTTATTAAAGGTTTTTATTGAAATGAAAGCCATTTCAAACATGTAAATACACACACAGACACAATAATATATAGTTTCTGTAAAGCTATACATTCTGACTGTCATGGTATTTTGCTATGCATAGGCATCTAAAAAGCTAAAAAAGAAAAAGTTGCCTGACTGCTTTAATTTTGCAGTCTGGTTCTGGTAAGTAAGCAAGCAAACATCACAGGTGAAGAAAAACATGTATAATTTTAAAATCCTTTCAGTTACACCATGTGAAAGCAAGTGTGGCTAATCTAGGGCATGCTGTTGTCAGTGCATGTGCGCAGAGCAATGAGGGCCAGATCCAGGAGTGGCCCTAGGTGTGGCAGTGCTCAGCTTCACCACACCTATCTGCAGGCGCCCTGACTCCAGGACTGGAATTAGGAACATCCAGTTCTTGCTCCTGGAGCTCTGTCTGTGCTTCCTTATCCAGTGAGTGCATCAGGTAAACCTTCCCAGGTCAGGCTCCCATCGCTCCTCAGTCACATTCCACATCAAATTTTCACTGGTTTATGCCTTCTTTTCTATTGAAGGTAGCCCAGATCGGCAGTTTTGAACCACCAATGGTGCTCTGCCATGTCCTACTGGTTACTAGGAATGAGCCGTGTGTCTCGGTTCAAAAGGATGGAGATGGGTTTCTCAGCCCCTCTCACTGCCTGTGGCCCTAAGAGGGGCCCTCAGAGAGGGGAGGCTCTCTGAAGCATTCCTCTCCTGATCATTTCCTGCTGGGCAGCAGGGGCATCTTGCCCCTGCCATGCCAGGCAGCGCGAGATCCACCTTGAACTCCCGCACTGCCCAGGAAACTTCGGTGCTTAATCTGGCATCACAAATTCCTTTCTGGGGCTAGGCACTGAATGCTTACACTTGGCACTGCCGAGTATCAAACCTTTATGAACAGATCCCTAAGGTCTTTTCAGCTGTGAGGAGCTCAGAAGATAGGGTCCTGTGTAACAACAGCTCTCTCAGTGTGTGAAAGATCCCAAAGAATACTCAACTGCAGCAATAAATCTTTTAACAAATGCGTTTTCACAGAAGTGCAGTTTCACCAGAGCTGAAATGTTCCAGAATTTGCTAATTTTTGTAGGGAATTTACCTGAAAGGTTTGTCTGATCCTGCTGTGATCATGTCACTGTAAGCTTGGTTTAGAGGGAGCAAGAAAGGCAGCATAAGAAAGGAAAGACTGAAGTTGTCAAGCAGAACTTGAACATTTTAACAAGGTACATTTTCACAAGGATATTAGGAATATGGTGCTTTTTATTCCCGTGTAGGACATGAGCACAATTTGAAATCTAATAAATTACCTTGAATGGAATTATTTTATGACTACCTCTACTTATTTCTAGTTTTGTGTGTTGATACCAGAGGTGTTTTACTCACATGCTGATGGACTCCATGAGTGTATTAGATGGGACCATTGCACCTGAATATCCTAGAGTCTCTAAGCAGTGAGACTATTCTACCTGATCCCCCGTTTTGCTTAATTTTTATGCTATTAAACCTACAAAATATTGTGTAACCGATCCACATTCCCGTTATTTCTATGCTTAATCACAAATGCACAATGAGAAGTGTTTCTTCTGGCAACTGAGCTGATACCCTTCCAAACCTGCTCTCCTGAAAGAAGGTTTAAGTTGTTCAGAGGTACTTATCTCAGTGGCATTTCCAGTATCAGAAAGCACTGGAATTCACCCCAAAAAAAGAAGGAAACTGAGATTCTAAGGTCTTTTATCTTGAAACATACTGAACTTGACTTTAGATAAGTATCCTACTGTCATTTTTACTATGATATATGGAGGATGCTTACTCAATAAACATCTTCCATGCTGTTGAAGCTGGTCACTGCATAACCTGAAGTCCAAGGACAGGGTCAGAGGAGGAGAAAGGAGCTGTAGTCTTGCATTCAGCATGAAAGTCTGAGTATTCCTGTACTGCAGGGGATCTGCTCACAGGGTGATCCTGACCCTGTGGCTGTGAATCCATCAGAGCAGGGAAGATGTCCCTCATTGGGCAGAGAATCTCCTACTGACTTGACATGCACTGGACTCTAACTCCTAGCTTCCCTGCCTTCAAATCAGGAACCACAGCCTGTCCCTAATCACCCTTGAATACTTTTCATGTAGGCCGAAAGTCTTCCAGGAGTTTTGATGCTGTTTATGTTAGTAAAAAGCATATTTAACTTAGTGGGAGGCTTTCTGTTATCTTTAAGAATGAGGTGGAATCCCAAATCTCTGAGAGGCCATGAACTTTTCAGCGTAATTTGTAAAGAAGGAAAGAAAATATTTTAATTTTTTTTAATTCACAGTAGACATTTCACTGCCATTGTATTACAACTGGTTGGTATTTTTTTGTTTTTGTCAAAAGCTGCATTTACAAAATTTCCCTTGTCTTGAATTTTTATTGAGTAAATGATTTAAAATTTACTTTTGAAGGGTTTAAAAAAACTTTTGGCAAAACCTACTTACTCAGGGGAAACTTCCTTACCATTGTATTGGAATTGTATTTCTGCCACTGCAAGATGAATTACAAAATGTTTATATGTAAGTGGCTGAAAGGTGAAGAGTCAAGTCTCCAACTGCAAATTCCTGATTTTTCCAGGATCATTACCTGTTCTGCCAATATAGGACATTAGTGATTCTGGTTTTGAAGAATGGCAATGAATTTGGCAGTCCTTCTAATGAGTCACATAGGCTGTGTTTCTAGTTATTTAAAGCAGTCTGTGTTCATTTAAAAAGGAAAAAAAAATGCAGCTTGAGCTACTTGCTTTTAAAAATAGCTTTAATAGTTACAGAATATATAAGTAAAAAGTTCATAGATTAAAACAACTTTACTCATGCTCCTTCTTAACCATGTGTTTTTCCTAATTTGTTATATTATAAGTTCAGGCTTTCTTTTAACTGGAAAAAAATCTGTGGTGAAAGGAGAGTTAACAAAATAGGTGTTACAAGATACATAACCCTGAAACTGGGAAACTGGATGTAAACCAAGATTGCAGAAATTTACACTGTTTTGACTACAGGTGTGATTTTTACTGAAATAGTTTTACTGAAATAGACGCCCGTTATTACCACACCCAGTGTTTCCATGCAGCTCTCATTTAAAATAATTTAAATGCTTTTTAGTTAGGCAGGGATTGTGGGATCTTGTGGGTGTGGATCAATTTCTATATAATTATGTGGGCCAAATATAGATAAGGAGGAGTCTGGAAAAGATTGGCATCACTGGGACCTGGAATGTGACCTTGGAGCATAAGGTTGATCATTCCATTAGATTGGCCAGAGTAAGTTCCTTCAAAGCTTTTCCCATTCCTTACCAGAATTATCCTTAAAACAGCCAACTTCTATAAGTGATTAGAATCTTTAAATCAAAACAGCATGGCTTTGAGCGTTTTAGAAGGCTAAGTAACATTCAACCACTAAGTCCTCATTCAGAATCTTTTAAAATTAATTTCTTCAGTACTTTGCACAGATTTTTATGAGAGAATCCTGACTCTGCTACAATTCATATGATACAGAAGAATGAACATAATAATACAGGCCACAACTTATTGTCACTTTATGGAAAATATGTTGACTTTTGTGAAATTAATTTGGAGGGTCCACTAAAAATAATAATTGTATTTGTAAATGCTTCATTCTGGTTGTGGGGGAAGTGATCATGGGTAACTGGGTGGAAGTCATGTGCTAGTTCCCCTCACTAGCTTTGACACTAAAAGTAAAAATGAAATTAAAGTGCTCTTTAAACTCCTTTGTGAAGCTGTCCAGAGAGGAAGCAGTGGCTAGTGTGAATTTTTTTTCTCTATCTAGATGTAATTTACCCTAGAGAAGTGTTTGGACTGTGTTTCTGGAGGATTCCACACTTTAAAAAAACCCCACAGTTTCACAGAGAGTACCCTTGCACACAGCTGATAAGTGGAGTGTCTAGCTATCAATGTCCACCAAATCAATTGAATTAACTATGCTAGCCAATATATTTGCTTTGACCCATTGTGGATGTCCAGTTCAGTCTTTGCAATTAAAATGAAATTGCCCTGCAATCGCTGTTTGTTTAGCATAGAAATGACAATAACAGAATCCAGAATAATCAGATGGATTCTGTACAAGTAACCATTTCCCTTTCTTGTGTTTGAATTTCCTTTGAAGGCTTTCATCTCTATCACAAGTTGCCCTCAATAGTACCCGAAAGCTGTCTCCTTATCCTGGTTGGATTGCTTCTTGGTGGGATTATTTTTGGAGCAGAGGAGAAGTCCCCACCTGTAATGAACAGTGATGTGTTTTTCTTGTATCTGTTACCACCTATTGTACTTGACGCTGGATATTTTATGCCAACTCGTCTGTTCTTTGAGAACTTTGGTACCATATTCTGGTATGCTGTGGTGGGCACGCTCTGGAATGCCATCGGCATTGGAATTTCCCTCTATGGAATTTGCCAGATCAGTGCATTTGGTTTGACTGACATCACTTTGCTGCAGAATTTGCTCTTTGGCAGCCTCATTTCAGCTGTGGATCCTGTGGCGGTGCTGGCCGTCTTTGAAAATATCCACGTCAACGAGCAGCTTTATATCCTGGTGTTTGGAGAGTCTTTGCTGAATGATGCTATAACTGTGGTAAGTTACTTGATAAGTGATTAATTGATAAAAATGATGAATGATTGTTTACATGCCACTCTGTTGTATCTCCTTGTATCTGGTTACTATAATTTGCTACTAGATTGGAAGTCAAGGAGTGCTATTGTGTCAAATTCTTTAAACTTTAGATTTAGAAATCACAGTAGTCTTACTACTTGAGAGTAATGGTAGCATATTTACTGTAGGGATTTTACTACTGATCACTCTAGTTTTAGTATATTTGCAATTCTATTACTTCTGTAATCTGAAACTGTAGATTTTCCTCACCTGCAGAAATGTTGTTGGACAGGAAAGGGAAAGGGCCTGGTGTGGGGTGTCACAGCATGTTAATGGGGAGGATGGCAAATCATGGAGATGGCACAGGACCTTGCTGAGGTTAACTACTTGCATATGCCCATCCACTTGGAACTGCCCTGAAACCAATACCTGTATCCCAGGCTACAGATGAGATAAGACAGCCACCTGGAGGCAATAATTTCTAATCATTAACTAGCTGAATTGGGGTTGTGGTGCTGACCTGAGGACAGCAATCTGCAAATTCCATTATCCCCCCTCAGTGTCCCTCATTTGTACCTGATGACACTGTCTGGGGCATTACTCCCATTTATTCATGCCTTGAAGTCCTGCCCATGCCAGACATATCCTAGCATGCTTTCTGTTTTCTGAGACATAGAAGTACAGTTTTTCATATGCTGGAAGGATCAGAAAGATTTATGAATTGGGTCTGCACTTTCCTGTTTCCGTCCCTGGCTTCTTATTCCAGTCCCATTCTATGCAAAATTGTCCTGTTTTCCCCTTCTCTTCGACTTTGCCTTCCCTGTTTTCCCCTTTTCATAGACTTTCCCTCACCTGCTTAACACATGTATATGTCATAATTTATTTTGAGCCTTCGTATTGATAAATTCTTGTGTGTCTGTGGGAATACTATATTATTTCTTCACTTAGACTGCATGCTTTATCTGAATCTGTTGCTATCCAGTCAGCTGAATCACATCTCCTCTTACAGGCTTGCCTTAAAACCTAATTTTTCTCATTAGCTTACAGTTGGAACTGCCTGCCAATGCTAAACTGGTACTTTAAGCCAGTCCTGTAAATAAATAGGTGCACATACTGAGTTTCAAAAGGCTTAGCAGTTCAGCCATGACTGGGACTGTCTCTAGTCACTCTAATGGCCACTTGTGCGATAGATGTCTATTCATATAAATTTTTTTTTTGGGGAGGGGGAAAGAATCTGGTTATTTAAAACTTGTTTGGTGGATTTTTCCAAGCAAAATCACTTTTTTCAATGAAAGTCAGCCACTGAGGCAGCAGTTAATAAAGCATGATTTGCTAGGAAGACTCTGCATCCTGATCACTAGCATATTCATATGTGCTATTTCCCAAAGGCAAATTTCTCTAAACCACCATTTTTATAGGGCTGGCATGGCAATTTATTGTGTAACTTTTCTGTAGGCATCATTATTGTCTTTGGAGGTTTCCTTATGGCCTGCCTCCCCAGATGCCCTAACAGAAGGAAGATAATCTGAGGAGTCTGTAGGGACAGTGCAGTAATGCACTGGCCTTGCATATATTTATGAAGGAGTGAAAGGAATGTGGAGTACCTTTGGTCTTACTTCCTATCACGCAAAGGTAGCGCTTGGAGAGAGATCAAGTTGTTTCCACATGCACAGAAATGGTCTGCTAATGGTTCCTTGTTATGTTTTTGCACACCTGCAATCATGTGATTATACCTAAAATGTGACCCAGGCTGTCACACAGACTCCTGGGGCTGTCCTTACAGGACCTTACCTTCCCTGCCCAAGCAGATGCTGCTGGAGCAGCCCGTGCCAGGCTACTCAGCCCTGGGCTTGGAGGAGGTGGTGCTTTGTACTCTCCCTTCCTCTGTCCCTGTTTTATGGGGAGCTGACAAGACCAGCAACCAGCAGAACTCAGAACTTGTCAGCTTTCATCTTCTGGAGCCCTTGAGTCCCACCTGCCCTGGCAGGGGCCTGCAGTGGGATGTGGGGATGAGGTAGGAAGGGAGTTGAATGCAGGTTGGCCATCCATGGAACCTGCTTAAAAAAACCAGGGGCTATGCAGATAGGCAGTGCAAAACACAGTTGCTTTATTAAATGTGCTTTTATTAGAACAGCAGTGTCATCTATGCTTTCCTTTCCAGAGAACGTGCTCCCACACCTTCATTTTGTATACAAAGAAAGGTGTGTTTTCTCAGGAGTTATGAGTTCTGCTGCATTTTTCAGGTTGTCTTCCATGCCTAATAGTTTTTGTGATATGTCTGTGCATTTGAATGTTTTTTTCCCCCACTGGTGGAATTTTGGAACTTGAATTTGATAGAGGACATTGTTTGACAATTGGATTCTTGATCAGAGCTGGTGCTTTACCGAGAAACTGAGTCAGACATAACAAGCAAGGTGATAATAAATCATAAGATCACAGCTGAGTGTTAGAAGTTCAAACTCCAATTCTGAGCTTAAAATCAGAAAGGAGCCAGCGTCATTATAATAATATTATTCCCATGTTAGAAAACATTACAGCAGTACTTTGTACTCTGCATCTGCTGACAACATTATTTTAGAGTGCTCTAAAGTAATTTTAGAATTAAAAACTTTATAACTGAGAACTGATGAAAATAAGCAATTAGTGTTTCAGAGATACTCTGAGACAAGATTAAATAGTGGTCAGTGACTAATATTGCTTGGTGTGACCTTCAGTGAGTTCAGATGAAGGCTATTGAGTAAATGAAAATATTGAACTTCAAAAAATCCCTCTGTTATCACATGAGATACATTAAAAATATGATCAGAGTTGGTGTTTGATGCACCTGGAAGTTTAGAGAAAGCTCAGTAAAACTGAACTGCTGTAGAGTAAAGGAAAGTGAACCTGATTTTGATCTCATTTGCAATAGTGTAAATAAAAAACAATGAGATTAAAATCCTGTTCATGACATTCCATAGTTGTAGCTGCTGCTTTAACCATGGCTGAGGTACAAAGGAGAAAATGGCTTTTCTTCTTTCAAATAATTTATGGCATAAACTTGAGATTTATGAGGATGTGGAGCAGTAGGCTCCATTTTATTTGCAGGGTGAATACTTTGCTGGGAAGTGACATTATGGAAAGGCTTGGATAGATCAGAATTCTCTGCTTCTTTACAAGAACCTTGTAAAGAACCTTTAGAAACTAGCCTTGTATATATTTATATAGTTACTTTTTAAAACATAAAAAATACTATTTAAAATGCCAATTAAATAAAATAATCAGCTTCCCTAATACGTACCAAGAGAGTATTTTGCCAGGTCAGATTCTGTAGGTGTCTTAGAGAAACACACAACTCTGAGATCATCCCAAATTTCAACAAGTGACTCAGGGAACTCTGCACACAACACAAGTCAACATTATTCTTCAGACTGTGATTAATGGAGTCCTGGGAGTGTGTGGAATGAGAGGTCCTTGTAAAGTGACCAGCAAAGGTACTCCTACTGTCAGTAGGTTTAATTCTGGTATACTTCTCTCCATGCAAATCCATAAGGTCTACAAATCAAAACAGATGGAAAAACTGTGGAGCCTATGACATTGCTTTCCTTCCTGCACAGTACATAGTAACAAGGAATGGGGAAAAAAGGCTGGGAGTCTGCCTCAGAGCAGCAAGGGGTTTGTGCAGATGAAAAAGGACGCTTCTTCCAAGTGGACTCGTCCTGAGAGCATCATTGTTATCTAATAAATAGTTCATGATCCTGCTCTTATTGTATTTGCTTCTTTGTAATGAAAATTACTGGTGACCATTCTAGGTTTGATTTAACCTTCTATTTTCATGCTTGCTCTGGAATATCTTTTCTCTTTTCTGTTTGATTTCTTTCCTTTCACTTAGCCCAAAGGACCCTTAATAAGCCATGTCTTTGCATTAAACTTTCAGTTCTGTAAGACTTAGCCAGTTTTGACTAGGAAAGGCTGAACAGCTTATGTTCTGTCCTGTGAGAGAGAACAAGAGTGCAAACATGAAAAATCCTTGCACAGCCACTACTCAAACAACTACTTTGTTGGCACAATGCAAGTGCTGATAAAACATTGTGATCTCAAATAGCATTCCTGATAGAGAAACCTGTTTGGTGTACTAAGAAGTCTAGAAAGAAAGCAGAGATTTAACTCCTGCAAGCTGTCTAAGGTGACTGGTCTTCACTGGTTTAGTCTGTGAACCCACTGTGGTAGGAGCAGGTGGCTGTGACCAAAGTTAGCTCTGTACAAGAGGACAGTGTAGCCACCCTGGTACTGCAGGGCTGGGGGCATGCATGCAACACCACGGAATGGTTCAATCTCCCAAGTGGATCTGCAGATGGGGCAATCCTTGAAAGCTTTTTTAAGAGTAACTGATTCCATTGGTTTCTGTTTTGGAGAAATTAAAACACTGTATATTAGAGAAATGTGGTCTTTAGATTGTTCTGTTTCCTGTATTAAAAAAAAGGGTCTCTGGCTAAGGAAATGTGATAGTCCCATTGACCTAGTTTGTTTTGAAGGATGGTTATAAAAGCTTTGAAAATTAAACTGGACAAACACATGGCAACAGGTTTTTTTAATGGCAACTAAATCCAAATCTCTAGAAATTCTCAATATTTTGAACAGTCTTTAAATTGTTGGATTCCTAATGGTCAAGAATTTTGAGAAAGAGCACTGACTTAATGAATACCATGTTTCTTTTACTCCTTGAGGTAGTGACAGTCCATCCCCAGCTGCTTCTACATCCCCTCCTACCCCAGCAGTTTAGATGCATCTGTGGTCTAGTTTAGTAGTCTACCTCTCAGTGTCATGTACAGCAAACAGATTTGAAAATAACCTGATTTTTCACTGGTTGAAAAAACTCCTTCTGTTTTATTTCTTTTAGTCTGGGGAAAATCTGAAATGTACATTAGGAGCTCTGTAAAATAAATTATTTTAAAGAAGAATTAGATAGATTTATGCTCCTGGCCCTCAGAGTGGCATGAGTGAAGAAATCTGTCCCCTTTGCAAAAATGGGGGTAATTATATTTATGTGTCTTTTGTGATCTCCCTGATATATATGGATGACAAATAACATGCCAGATATAAATAACAGCATATCTAAAAAAGCAAATTCAAGTTAGATGGAGAAATTCAAAGTTCATCATTTAAGCAGAGGAACATAATGGCATGAAGGGAAATTAAGAATAGTTCACAAAGATAATGTGCTTTCTTTTTCCTCATAGGTCCTGTACAATTTGTTCAAGTCTTTCTGCCAGATGCGCACAATTAAGGTTATTGACATATTCGCTGGGATTGCTAACTTCTTTATAGTGGGGATCGGTGGAGTATTGATTGGAATCCTTTTGGGATTTGTAGCAGCCTTTACCACCCGTTTCACCCATAAAATCCGAGTGATTGAGCCACTCTTTGTCTTCCTGTACAGTTACTTGTCATACATAACAGCCGAAATGTTTCATCTCTCGGGCATCATGGCGTAAGTACCACAAACTTCAGTACTTGTAGCATCCAAGTAAGAATGCCAAAGGGAATTGGAGAGAGGATCAGCTTTTGCAAACCCTGCCATGTGGCATTGCTCCACAGTGCATGGCACAGTTGCTGGCTTGAGGATTTCCGGCCTCTTCCCTCCCGCTTCCGCCCCGCATTCTCAGCTTGCCACCACACCAGCTGTGTCACTAAAACTGCCCATGGCATCACATCATAAGCTGTATCTTTGAAATGTTCCAAGTTAAAAATATTCACTTGTATTTTCAGTGGGCTTATTTTTAACCCAGGTCACTTTGGTGACCTGTGTCCTAATGTGACCCTTCAACTATTCATAAGGGCATGGGTGTGGATTGGCCCACGGTGATGTAGGGGCAATGGTGGCAGGGAGGGAGTGGCAGTGGTAGCGGGGAACTTCACTTTCGATGCCAATATATTGTGAAACTGTGTTTAACAGTTAGTCATGTGAGCAGCCAGTAAATACCATTCAATGAAGACAATGTATATATCATTAAGGCAAACTTCTGCTGGATTACAGGCACAGTAAGGATTGGGTGAATGTAAACTTTGCAGTCCAGTGGTAATATAATCCTACAGTTTAGTATCTTGATACGTGTGCCTTTGTGTTACAATGTTCTCTGTATACATCATTATGTATAAAATAATATTTTTCTTCCCGCTTCCAACAGATTCAAATATTTTCACTTCTGGTCTTTCACTCCTCGTCTTCAGTAAAAAAAGATCACAGCCTCTCTCTTCACTCTGTTTATACTGTAAGAACTTCAACATTAAAAAGAGCCTTTATGACATTTGATATAATTAAATATTTTGCTCTGGTTCCAAGTAATATTTTTAAAGTCAACTTTCTTTAATGACTTTTTATTGTTCTAGTGGCAAATATGAGTCATTCAGGCACGAGGAGCAGAGCTTTTTGTGTAAGCTCAGATGTTGCTGCTGAGTGTCACTAATACTCGATAATACCTCATCTGATTATTATCTTTTAGGCAAGTGAAGATAGGTTTACTATTATAGGTATGGCAATATAAGGTTTTCTGGGGCTGGGAAGCAATTTGCAAGGAAACTTATGGGTGATGATTTCAGTAGTATAAAAATAGGAATATGCCATGAAACAACAGGGGTTGGAACTTTAATGCAAGTAAAGAGCTAAAGATTACATGGGTTTCTTTCTCTGATATGAGCCTAAATAAAGCAACATATGCATCCACTTTGACCGAGTTCATAAATGTGCCATCTCTTTCCATAGCTTCTATTCATAGCATTTGTGTGGTTTCTAGTTTCCTCCACCTCTAAAGCCAAATGTCCTTGACATCCTATGATCAAATGCTTAAAGGGTTTCTAAACCAAAAACATGTGGCTAAACTGTACATGGAAAAAATTGAGGCAGTGTTTATGAAAATACTGATTTGGACCTGCTGCATCCAGGATACAATGAATAGGGCATGGTGGATCTGCTGGTTGGTCAAGGGACCCACCACATGCCAGTGCCTGCCACCAGCACACCAGTGCTTCCCACAGCACTAACAACCTGTTCATTTTAGTTTCTGCAGTGGCCCCTGAAGGGATGCAGAGCAGAAGAGGAAACACAAAGTATTTTCACCCTCAAACAGCACAGTAGAAAATGAGTTATCTTTAAAATGTTGTGTCTGTTTTTGTCTCTAAGCATACTTTGTGATAGCTGACAGAACTGTGTACAGCAGTAACATCCCAGCTGAGACAGAAGGGCTCTCTGCTGCCTTGTAGGGTCTCAGCTGCTATAAGCCCTAAAGCTTGTCCCTACCCAGCAGTGCTGCTGACAGCCTTGGAGCTCCTGCAATCTCTGCATCTCCTTGGAGTAAATCTGCCCTGTTCTTGTCACATTTCTTTGGCCTTTGAACTACAGAAAGTAATTTGCTCTGTGTCACAATGCAAAAACACACACCAGTGTTAACCAGAGTTCCCTGTCATTTTTGTGCAGCGACTGCCTGATGTAAGATCATGGGTCTGATCTAAAACTCAGCCCTCCTTTGGGCAGGTAGTTGGAGCAAATGACCTTGGAATGTCCCTTACAACCGAGATAGTTATTTTATTATTTGCTTCTGTGGCCATTTACAGTTCAGCCTGTGAGGAATAATTGCCTGGTCTCCCCTTTTTCACCCACATCCACATGAGCCTGTTAAACTACTGATTCCCCCTTCTTTCATAACCAGGTTTATAAAGATACTCAGTGAGACCTTGTGGTTACATGCTGTACCATACTTTAGGAGAAGGCCATGAGCAGGAACGTACAGTGTTACCAAATAAATAAGATACTTAGATTGCCTCATTCCTGGGGAAGTAGGAATTCACTGGCAGAGGAATAGAAGGGAAGGAAAGGCACTTGTCCCTCTTCTGATAAGTTTGTGTACTCATTCTAAGGATAAATGATTCTTGAAATGTCCGTGTATAACCCCTGCACCAGGTTACCTGGCTGCAACAGTGAAGGGACTGAACCATGTCCCTGGGAGCTGCAGGGAGAAAATCTCTTCAGAAGGAGAGGAAAGAGTTTCTACTGTAATTAGAGCTGGGCATGAATGAGGATCGCAGCCATAAAACATAGAGATCAAAATCTGAACTTTATTCACTTGCTTCCATGCTGCATTTTCTGCTTGCTAATTTCTCATAAAGGCTGTGAAGCAGCAGAAGTTTTAATATAGGTTTCTTTTTTTTTCTTTTTTTTTTTTTTTTTTTTTAACAATGAATTAGCAGACTGAAAGGAGCAAACATTGAAACTACTGTAAATTTAGTAGGTCAAGGAAACTTGAGGATTGAACCCAGTGGCCTAGTTTATTGCAGTCCTGACAGAAACTGTACTGTTTATACAGTGAGACTTTTATTCTTCAGAAGTACAGAATGTTGCAGGTTAATTGCAATGAAGTACTTTTCCCTTCCCCTTCTTGACCAAGGCAACTACTCAGGTCACAGAATTGGAAGCCAGAATTAATGTATGTGGGTACAAAATGTAAAATAAAACACATCTAAGCTTTGGCTTTGATCATTGTGACAGTAAAAATTTAGTTTGTGAAGAATTTATTATAATAATCTATATAAAACCTTGCATAAAGACATTGATTTTATACTAAATTTTAACCCTATATCCCCACACAATTTTCAAACGAAGGAGACTTCAACATTTTTTTCTCATGCAAATAAATACTCTAAAGAGATACCTGATTCCAAGTGAGCAGTGATTAGGTGTGGAATATTACTTATCTGAGGAGTAACAAGTTGTGTGTAGCTCTGTTCCTTGTAGCATTGAACCAACTCCTCTGTTGCTTGACACTAATTGAATGATTGCAAAATGTGACTGAAAAGAAGTGTTGTCCCTTTAAATTCTAGTGGGTAAGCATGGTAGGTGTTTTAAGTTACAGCTTGCAAGGATTCTGATTAATCTGGTGACAGATTCTTATCTTAGACATCCATTTACAGTGTCTCCATTACCTCAGGTTCCAAAAACAAACCATGTCCAGAGCGTGATTCCCTGCTCCCCATGCTGCAGGGCTTTCCTAAATTACTATAATCATGAAAACGATTTATTTTAAGAAGATAGTAAAGAGTACTGCGTGTTTTGTTGTGCCTTTGACGCAAACCCGACAGTCCTAATGCTTCAGGGCACTAAGCTGCTGCTTTGGGACTCTAAAATGACTGTGGGCCTAGAAATGGCTGTTTTCCAGCCCACCCACTGCCTTCTTGCTCTTTTGCACTTGCTGCCCCTGCACTTGCCAGCTCCAGTGAGTGCCATGGGCTGGAGCAGCCGGGCTGCGCCAGACTGGTTACACTTGTGCAGATAAGCCCTGTGCACACAGGAGAGCTGTCACAACCCAGGCATAGCTGACATCTTTGTGGCTGTGGCAGTGCAGTGAAGAGCTGGTTTGCCACTGATTATGAGGCTTTTGGCAGGTCAAAGTGTTAAGTGGCTTTGAGAAGATTTGTGCAAGTACTTTTGTGGTTGATCATCAGAACAGTGTATAAACTGAGGAACCTGGGAGTGTTTGAAGGCTTCTGGGCTTGAGTGCATGTCCTGACCAAGTTGCTGCTTCTTGTCAGGACAAAATCTATGTGTGTGCCAGGTCCTCTCCCACTTTATTGCTTAGGCACATAATGTGGGATCTGTTGTAAGTCCACAATCTGGGCAAGATCAGAACAAGAAGGAAAGCTATGAAAAGCATCATCAGTTTGTCTGTATTGGCACCTCTGTTATCCTAACCATGTGCTCAAACTAGGAATGTTACCTTAACTACTGAGTGTTTCAAGGAGAAGGCTTGCATGCTTATGAAATCTACATTATATCTTCCACAGTGGAGCCTGTGTAGTCAGGATGAGCTCTGCTTCCCAGGCAGCATGCTGCCTGTGGACCACATAGGATATTTCTGTTCAGGACTGTGGTGAAATCAGCTGACAGTGAGGAGAGGGCTGACAATTATATCAGTAAATATATCAGTAAATATATATTACATCTGTATTTACTGAATATAGATGGTGGTCTGGGATAGTCTTAGTGAGGCTTTCATCCTTCTTAGACTTGGACTTTGCTTAGGGATGGAGTAGTCTTTGCATGTCAATGGGCATTTTATTTTGTGCTGACTAGATCCTTCTCCATCACCAATGTGGGCAAAAATGCAGGGTGAAGGGCAGGTTAGGGGCAATGTTCTGCCTGTATTTGTAAGCCACATCTGCCCCTTCAGACTGCATCTGTCCCCATAGCCCATCCTCTTCCTTGGGTTTTCTTCACTTTGATGTATATTCAGGGTCTCTGCTGCTTGGGAGAGGTCAACAGAGTACGCTGTCCTCTCCCAGTGTCCACATGTCCTCCCAGACTTGTCCTTCAGAATTATTGTTGCCCAGCCACTTTGGGGATGTAGATGTGTTTCCATGTAAGAGAGTGGAACTTTTGGAGAAAACTAACTTTAATTAATCAATGTGTTCAGTCTGCCAGTGGCTACAACCTGAGCTGCTGCTACAGACTCCCTCTTGCAAAATGCAGAGAAAGTTCACTGTATGGAGGTCCTTTTGAAGTTACTGCTGCTTCTGGGATTCCTCCTGCTTTGAAAAAAAATTTTTAAATCCCTTATTTAGAAGAAAGAACCCAGGCATGTATGTTCATAAGGTCAGTGAGTTTTTCTGAGCTCTGCCCCAATCTGCCTTCCCATTTACCTTCACATTCAGAGATGTTTGGTTCAGAGTGGTTCAGAGATGGGGCTCTTGGCTTAGAGGCAGAACAGGTTTAGCAGAAGAGTTTCTGCAGTGAAATCTCCACAAGATTTGGGAGATTTCAACAGAAATTTTCAGAGATGCTAGCAAACATGCCCTCCTGCCCCATGAGAGAGAGAAGTGTAGAGATTTCAGCATGAAGAAATATCCCCTATGTTAGCAATACTTATATCTGAAAACCTGGTGTAACTGGAATAAATAAGCCTAGACAAGTTGGCTGTATTCAGAAAGACAATGTAAGTACAGCTCTCTTTCTTTGTTTAGATTTAGTGTGCTGAAACGTTTTAGCACCAACTTTTGTGGGTTTGACTGAGAACCCATACATGGATGTGAATAATGTTTTTCACTGGGAAATCAGAGCAGATGTTGTTGCCCTAGACAGTAGAACCAGGAATGACAGCTGTTTCACAATGTATCTTGCCTTAGTTGTCCTCCCTGATAATTATTAGTGAGCTCAGACTGTCTTTCCCTACACTGAGACACCACCTTGGAGTTGTCCTCCAGCCAGTCTGCTAACCTTAAACTTGTAAACATGTAGCTGAGTGCTCCTCAGCCATCCCTTTACTGTGGACAGCCACACTGAGCAAGTGATGTACAACCAGAAATGTTTTTCCCCCTTGCTTTTCCCAAGGATTAACAAACTCTGCTAACACAGAAAATAGACTTGTGGATGCATTTACAGTAAGCCCTTTCTTTTCTCTCATGTATCAGCTGAGATGCCCATTTCATTCATTTGTAGATGCTTTAAATGTGCAGCAGCACCAGTGTGATTTCTGGTGGTGTTTTTCTCCTATTCAGCCCTATGTGCAGGCAGAGCAGGTCTAAACTGGTGAAGGATGACAAATTGTCTGTAGCCTTGCTGCTTACTTTGCTTGGAAAGGGGAGCTGGCTACTGTCACTGCCACTGAGGTTGGACAGCTGCTGGTAGGGAAGGAGGGAAGTCCTGCCCTGTCCCATGATATGCAGTCTCCACCCTGTCTGATGTCCCTCAGCAGCAAGAGATGCAGCAACTCCTGTTTTCCAAGGCTGTCCCTGTCTCTCCTCATCTCTGCCCCTTTCAAAACAGAGTTGGAGTGACCCCTGCACAGATCATGTGCAGTTAGGATGTGAAAAAACTCTCCATACACTGATGTCTGCTCAGAAAACTTCCCATTGCAGAAAAAAAAAATTGTGCCCAAAATTGTAGGTTCACCAAGTCTGTAAATTTGAGATTGGGTATGAAATAAGTTATGCTTTACATTTTAAAGAAAACTATGGAAAATTAATAATATTATATAGATATAAGAGAGGCTAAAAAAAAATTAAAGACAATGAAATATGGGATAATATTTGCCTTTCAGGATTACAGCTTGTGCCATGACCATGAATAAATACGTGGAGGAAAATGTTTCTCAGAAGTCCTACACAACGATAAAATATTTCATGAAGATGCTGAGCAGTGTCAGTGAGACTTTAATCTTCATCTTCATGGGTGTGTCTACAGTTGGGAAGAACCATGAGTGGAACTGGGCCTTTGTTAGCTTCACCCTCCTCTTCTGTTTAATCTGGAGGGCACTGGGTAAGCAAGTCTCTGACTATGGGTCAGTATTCTTTGCAAGTGAAATGTTTTCTTTCTTATCAAGTAGAAATTGCCAAAAATTAGACAGATACCCATCAGTTTGTGGAACGGTTTTTGTATTAGTAACATGCCCTATATCACAGGGTCAGCTTCCACCTTTCCCTAAAATGGAACCTAAAAATCAGTTTTGCCCTGATCCTACTTACCTAAAGTGAGAGGCAGTCTGCTTGTTAATCACAATACATGTATTTAAGTAAACATTTATTTACAAATGAGCAACTTTTGGTAAAAATAATTAGCAGTCATTCAGGAATTAAAAAGGTTGTGGGTTTTTTTTTTTTTTTTTTGCTTGTTTGTTTGTTTGTGGGATTTTTCTTTGTTTTTGTTTTGTTTATAATTTATGTTTACTAGCTTTGGGATTTTTACAGTCATTGACAAGAATAGTATCAAACCAGGAAATGCTGTAATTGAAGTGTAAAGAAAAACTCCTGTAAGAAACCGATCCCTCCTGAATGTACAGTACTACTCTTTTCCTTTTACCTAGAGAGCTAAGTGCAAAGGGCTTAGCTCTTAGGGCTAAGCTGGTAGGTCTTGAATCTGGGCAGGCTGGTAGGTCTTGCATCTGCTCCTCTCCCCAGCTTCATCTCTAATGATTCGGTTCCCTGCATGTGTAAAGGTGCATCATGCTCTAATCCAGCTCCTTCCAGAGCAGAAACCTGGACTATTTTACTACTGCACCTGCCACCCCACAATCAATATGCTGAATCAATATGCTGAAAAGCAGCCAAACACCCTGATTGCCACTCAGCTCTTGCCCCCTGTGCTTGCTCCCTTCACCTGCCTTTATTCCTTTACTCCAGTCATCCCTAGAACCTTTTTCCAAGGTACACCAGCATGCACCGGTGTCTTGTCCCCCCATCCCCAGTCCTGCATCCTTCATGTCTGTGTGAGTAAAATTGAGTGAACAGGAATTTCAGGGTTCAAAGCACAGATTGATGGTGGAGACAAACCAGTTTTCAAAATCACCTCAAATGCAGTTAAAAAAGCAATTAGGAGTCTTGGTCTATACTGACACAGAGAATTATTGCTGTTTTAGAGGTGCAGTCTAGCAGGTAGCTGTCTTGTAGACATCTGTTAGCTATTTCAGGTCCTAAATCCAGCTGACTCGAGGTGTTTAGCTCACTAAATATGTTCAAAATCATGTTCCCAAGGCTTTTAAATTTAATATTATGGTATTTCAAGCTGCTAAGTAATGTTTCATTTCTTCAATAACATATATTGAAGAAGCAAATAAAAGGTAAGAAGCAAATGGAAGCATTTTTAAACAAATATTAGCATTATGGGCTAGTCCTGAAGTTCCCTTTTTCCCCCCCATCCTCTCTGTATTTCTGTTTTTTCCCCTCAGGTGTTTTTGTTCTGACTCAGATCATTAATGTATTCCGGACAATACCTCTCACTTTCAAGGACCAATTTATTATTGCCTATGGAGGTCTCCGAGGAGCAATTTGTTTTTCACTTGTATTTCTGCTTCCTCCTGCTGTGTTTCCCAGGAAGAAATTGTTCATCACTGCTGTTATCGTGGTGATATTCTTTACTGTTTTCATTCAGGTAATACCTTTCTCCTCCTGAACTTCTTCTTTCTCAGACGTGTTGTAAATAAGTACCTCTAATGGGTAGAATATGAAATTTTCTAACTTAATTACTGTAAGGAACATACTTGAAGGTACTTGCTGTAGTCATAGTAAAAAAAATGCTATGCATACCACAGGCAGGTAGCAAAAGTATGCCAGATATTAAGTCCTTATGCTAACATGTAAGTAGTACTAAGTATTTAAGACTAGTGAGGTTGGAGTAGAGACAGAAGATAATCTGGGCACAGCTTCAGCACTAATTACTTTTCCTAGAATGTTTAAATTTGTGCGTTCACCCAGAAGTTCAGTGTTGGACATAGTGCACAGTGAGCTAAAGACACTGAGGTCCCAGACAGGTGAACTGGAGTCTGGGTGTTAGGCAGTGATGCTGCAAACCAGCTGGACAGCCCTAAAAAAGCACCAGGTGTGTGTTAGGACATGATGAACTTGTCTCTGATCACCAACTGGCCATGGAGGCCTCGTCAAGGGTGAGCAAGAGACTGAAACCTGCAAAATGTGGAGGAGGCCAAGCCCATCAGATAAACATATCAGACTGGTCATTATCCAGAGCAGTGAGAGAGATGTGAGTTGCTATTAATGACATTTCAGATCTGTGGAAAAAAAAGTAGAATTTTTTTACTCTGCTTTTTACACGGAAAAAATTGCTGTGGGAAGCAAGCATCTGTGCTCATGCTTGGGCAAAGGGGCAAGGTGGAGGTCAGGTAGTTGACTTCAGCTGTGAAAACTAATTTTGAAATACAGAATAATTTAAAATATGGAGATAAGTGTCATGCGCTGTGAGATGCAACATGATTTATCAAAGAAAAAACTGGTATCATTCTTTCATACAGCAGTTTATTTTCTAGGGTAATCTCATTTAACTGGAATATAGTAAAATCTTTGGGGAGGGGGCTACAGAGGAGATTGTTAGTGTAACTATTCATTAAACTGAGGTTTAGATTGACATTAGGATGACTGTAAAATGAAGGAGGAAGGAGCTTACAGTTCCTCCTTTAAATGGAAATAGAAGCAATTTGTCCTTTGGGTCAGAAAGGATCTCTGGGGGTCTCTAGTCCAACCCTGTGCTCAAAGCAAAGCAGCCCTCAAGTCAGATCATGTTCCTCAGGGCCATGTCAAGCTGAGTTCTGAATATATTGATGGATGGAGATACCCCAGCCTCTCTGGGCACCTGCTCAAGTGTTCAACCTCCCTGGCCAGATAATAGGCTGATGAGATATTATTAAAGGAATTCCTCAAGGATAAGTTAATACTCTTGTTAACTGACCATGGCACATCGATGTAGGAGTTTTTGTTGCTGATGTTTCTTGATGACAGATTTTGAAAAGTGCTCTCAGGGTGACAGTGAGATAGAGTATCCTGTAGAAAGAACTGAGGGCAAATATGAAAGGAACAGAATGAAATTGAGCAGTAATATGTGCAAATGTGTTCTTGCAAGGACTTTCTTACTAGGAGTTTCTCTTGTGAAATGGGAACTTTGATTTGGAAAAAATAGAAAGGGAAAAAGATGCAGATGTACTAGTTGGTAATGGGGTAGATTTTAAGTCAGTGATACAGTGGGGACAGAAGAGAGGCAAATGTGATCTTAGGACACACTGTGACAGGTATTTCCATTAGAGCATAGTGGCACGTTCTGGAGTGATCAGGGGACTGGTAAGCCTGTCATGGGAAAGGACACCAGGATTCCTTGGCCATAACAAGATGAAGGAGAAGAGGGAATATAATTACTGTTTATATGAGGGAGTGAACACTGTTTAAACTAAAAAGACAAATGTTGGCACAAGAACAAAGTGGTACACAGTGACCATGATGCAATTAAGAAGCAGCTTTCTAATTATCAGAACAATAAGATTCAAGATGAGTGTTCCATTATGAGCAATGGGGCAAAGAAACCTAACTACTTTTAAAATAAAGCTCCTCTCATTTACGAAAAGAAATGTGACCTGGGTGTCTGGGATAGTAGGGACTGATTTCAACACCACACGAGATTCATTCCTCTCCCCTGTGCCAGTGTGTCTGTACAAGTAAACAAATTATCTTAATTCTTCCACAAATATTTGTTGAAAACCATTATATCATTCAGGGAATAGCCAAAACTCTTTGTTCTTTCTCTGAGAATGGTCAGGCAAGGATACATATTTACAAAAAACCTATAGTTTCATGATCTTAGATATCCATAATAGTACTGTTCACGTATCTTTGAATACCTATTTTGGATGTAAATACTAAAAAATAGGACTTTACATGTTCATTTTGAAATTACAGGGAATCAGTTTAATAATTCATGTTTTTCTAACACATAAAAAAACTGAAAAAAAAAAGTGTAGAATTACTATGGATGGGATAGGTGATGTATTCCTGATAGTTTCTGTTAGAGAGTTAGTTTCTGTTAGATAGTTTCTTGGAGCTCTCAATACTAGGGTGCCCCTTTCTTCCTCCTGTTGCATTAATGGAGTTTGAGCTGACAAGGACTTCATAGCTAAGTGCAAAACTTGCTAATCAAAGGAATGAATTCACTTTTATAATTCTTGTGTTCTGTTATTCTTCACAGGGAATAACAATCCGCCCACTCGTGGAGTTTCTTGATGTCAAAAGGTCAAATAAAAAGCAGCCTGCTGTCAGTGAAGAGATTTATAACAGGGTATGTTGCAGCTTCAGTATCATAGGTGAAACCCTTGTATAGATGAAATTCCTAGTCATGTTCAGACAGACAAACATTCAGCATCAGTATTATGGAGAGGGTGTACTAGATTTCTTTTTGATAGCTGTAGTAAGCACAATAATTGTAAAGCTTATATTCAACTTTTGGCAATTACAGAAATTATTGTTACATATCCTTATTTTGGAATCTCCCATTTTCTTAATTGTTCAGATATAGATGTAAATTAACTTTCTGTAGTTTATTTCACACATGAGATACATGTTATTTTATAATTCGGCTACATAAGGAAACCTTTGGCTTTATTTAATTGCATTATACTGCATTTGATTTAATCAAATTAAACAAATGCAAACTCGTCTTAAACACACTCTTAAAGTTACTAAACTCTTACATCATCAGCCTTTTTTATGGATATATGTTTGGTACATTTGTGTCTCCAATTGTTGCAGATTATTAGCCATGCATCTTGAATGTCTTTCTCCTTGCAGCATACCTGAGGCAAGTGGTTTGAAATTTAAAATGGGAGGAATAGTAAGGGCCACATTTGGGAAAGAAGCCAATCTAGGCATTTAAAAGTCTCTCCTTTTAGAGCTTATCCTTTGGACATGTCTACCAGGGTTTTTCCCTGAGATTGAGAAACCCCTATGATGGTTCCTGAATTAAAAGCAAACATGCTGCCTCTGGGATCAAGGAGACCTCAGCTGAACGAACTGATTCTGTTTTTCCTAATTGATAATAGACTCAGGAAGTGTATGTTTCTAATATTAGGTGGACAGGATGCTTTAAGATGATACAAATTCCTAAAATAGGATCTCAGGACCTATTGCTGGCTCTCAGTTCTGTCTGTGCATCCTGAGGGGCTGGGGCTGATGTAGGGAGCTTCTGTCCACTGAGATTCTCTTCTCCACAAAGTCATACTTGCCTAAATGTCAGGCCTGGGGGAGTTTCAGGCATAGCAGTGAGTGGTTAGGGCATTTCAAGTAAGTGAAAATATAGGAAAAACCTTTAGTTTCAGGCAGGAGGTGAGCAAGATTGACATTGAGGAAATCATCAACTAACTTCTGTCCTTTTGTGAGCTAAGGAAGATTCAGAGGGAAAGAAACAGATTCTGTCTTTAAGCTTGGTTTGAACTGCTTTTGGTAGGACTGAAGCCTTGTCCTGAGTTGTGACTAGATGTTTCTTTTTTAAAGTAAGTTGGAAACTAATAAGGTCTAAGGACAAGGCAAGTGATGTCTATAAGTTTATGTAATGAACCAATGTTTTCCTTTAGTTCTTTGACCATGTGAAGACTGGAATTGAAGATGTGTGTGGACACTGGGGTCACAACTTTTGGAGAGATAAGTAAGAATGGCATTTGAAACTTTATTATATAGGAGAGGCTGAAATGGCTCTGCAGCAACAAACAAAGGCTGTTGGGCATCAAATTTCATTTTCAGCATTTATTCTTGAAAGCATATGGTTGTTTTTAGAACATGTGGGTTTCAAAGGGAAAGTAGCAAAACAATGTCTTTTACTAAACCACAAGCAAGTAGAACAGAATCTCCAGCTGGGAAGAAAGGCAGCCCTCTGATCCCAGGGTGAAGGATGGTACCTTCTGAGGGTGCATGATTCTGACTGTTGCAGAGCATCTCCTGTATGTCTGCTGAGCCTTTTTCCCACCCAGCTGTCCTTTTGCGAGCTGTATTTCCTTGGGCAGTTAAGTGATGGGTTAGTTTCCTATTTGACAGTAAACATACAAAAGCTAGTGGATTTCCTCTAGAAAGATCAAGGCAGCAGCTGGTATGAGATACATGAGAGGTCCTAATGGCAGGCAGCTCCACAGCTCTTGATGGTATTCCTTAAGACTTAGTATCAGTTAAGAAGATTACCCCTGGCAATACCTGAATAATTAATATTTTTACTTTATCTGCTGAATCGTCATCATCATCATTATGTTGGATCTAATTCCTTTCACATCCAAATTCTTTAGACCCAAACCATGGGCACTGCTCACCACCCTCTAGTCTTTGTTCCAAGAAGAATTTAGGTGTTTTATGTAAAGAGAGAATAGCACCAGCAGGAATGGCTGAGGAGAGCCCTTTCCAAATGACTTGGGGGTGACACAGTGAGGATGCTTTCCTGACAGATGTGTGACATGGGTGCAGCTTTTCTTTATTTAGCCTGGTTCTCCTCCAGTCTGTGTGACATCTTTAATGAAAAGATTGCAGAGCTAAGGAGAGTCCCACCTCTTCATGACCTTCACACCCAAATTCAAGAATAATTTCAGAATGTCTGGAGGGCAAAATATTTTCTGACAAACAAAATCAACACCAGCTGTAATCAATATTTTTTCACTAAGCATCCAAGAGGGTGCAGTTGCTTTAGAGAAAGGAACAACTTCTAAAGTTTTACAAAAGCAGGCTAAAATTTCAAAGAAAAAGCAGTTGATGCAAATTTTGGCCTTTTATTTGTTATTACAGTAAATATTTAATGTTCTCTTTGTCTTGATGAAAACAGAGAATTAAAAATAATATTTTCTAATAACAGAACACCTAAAAGTTTAAAGTTGCTTCTAGGGAGACTGTCCATTAACATATTAACCTATCTAACCTATTAAGACTATCTATCTGAAGTAAAGTTGAAATTGACCCTTTCTTAAGTTACTCAGCATTAGGTTGTTAACATGAACATACACATTCCCAGACAATAAAGTCCTTTAAAATTTCATTAACTGCAATGTATTGGCTTTCCTTAACTGTGCACAGTAAGAATTAACTGGTTGGGCTGGTTTGCCTCATGTACAGGTTTAAAAAGTTTGACAATAAATACCTGCGAAGACTTCTAATCCGTGAGAACCAGCCCAAGTCCAGCATTGTTTCTTTATACAAGAAGCTAGAGATCAAGCATGCCATAGAGATGGCAGAGAGTGGAATGATAAGCAAGGTGCCATCATCGGTGTCTCTCAGGTAAGCAAGCGAGGCCAGCACGGCCAAGCAGCTCAGCTGGGTCACATAATTTATTTCACAGCCCGGGCTGTAAGGCAGGATCATCGCTTTGACTTAGGATACTTTGTGTCCTAATGTCACCAGAACAGTGAGAGGGTGTGAAAGAAGAGCCTTTTGCCTATAGCTTCAGGTAAAGGGCTGTGTTCTTCTGGTGTGTGTGGTTTTACTGGGACAGCTGCTCACTGGCACATCCATCTGCCCTGAAGAGCGGAGGTGGACTTGAACACCTGCCTGCCTGCCTGCCTGCTGAGAACAGCTACAAGGCAAGCCTGGGGGGCATTTTGAATAGTACCTAAATACAGTGGACAAATTACTGTAATTTTTATCACATTTACATCTTACCACAGATTCAAATGAAATCAGGATTTCATTTCTACATGTTATATTTTCACCTATTACTTGGTCGTTTTGAAATGTTGTTTCCACCTCTAACAAAGGAAATAATTCAAATGTCATTCCTGACCATAAAAATAAAAACATCCTCTCTCTCTCTCCCTCTCCTCTATTTTCCTTTTTTTTTTATTCTGCCACAGTGACTATCATGAAGGAAAGATAAAGCCCCTTTCTCCCACTGAAATGGAAAACATGCGAGAAATATTAACAAAGAATCTCTACCAAATACGGCACCGAGTAAGGATGAACTTTTGCCTACATAAATATCCCACTGCTCTTGTAATATACTGATTATCTTCTTAACACATCTTTGAGCTGGTGCATCTGCTCTATCGTATAATAACAAATAATGCTCTTATTTAACTCTGTTGCCTTGAATCCATATCCTGTCATATGTACAGTAGTATATTCACATTCCTCTGTGTAAATACTTACTTGATCTTATACTATTGATAAGGCTTAATGTTTTTGTCTTATTACCTCTGATGCAACCACAGTATTAAAATAGGACCATAGGTGCCAAACAACCCAACACTGTCTACTTGTATCGCTATATTGGTCACTTCATGATATGGGATTAGATTTCCTATTTGCCTCCAGTTGTAAGATTGTTTTTATTAAGAGCAGAGATGATGAACTGGAAAAATAGTGAAATAAAAGCAAAAGGACATTTCACATTTGTCCTCCTGTGGCTAAGTAGTTTGAATGCCTGAGCCCTTGGAAAACATTCAAAAATTGAGCAAGCTTCAGCTTGCTGTATGTTAAAATGACTTCCCTCTAGGGGACTCATCACTTTCAAATATGTGTCCTCTGCTGACATATTGACCAAGCTACTATAGTGTGGGGGTAAACACAGTATTAAGCCAGCTTCTTCCATTTTGTCTTTCATTATAAATATCATCAGGTTAAAAAAAATTAACCAAAGCCAAGAAAACCCCAGGTAGTTGTGAAGCAGATGAATAAAAACATTCTCGGCATAATTATTGTTCTTGTTCTTAATCATCTGCAATACAATCTTGTTCACAAGGATTTATGATGCTTATTAAAGCAAAAAGCCTGTTTTTCCCTGTTCATATAGTCTAGCACATTTGACATCATGCTTTCCAGGCTGTGACCTCTGCTTTTCCATTTCAGACAATGTCCTACAACCGACATAGCCTGGCTGCAGATGCAAGTGAGAAGCAGGCCAAAGAAATTCTGATCCGTCGCCGGCACAGCCTTCGGGAGAGCCTGAGGAAAACCAACAGCCTGTCAAGGGAAAGACCGGTACTTGCAGTTTGTGTTGTTTTTTGGGGTTTTTTTTGGTCTGTTTGGGTTTTTTAAATTTTAATTTCTATTGAAAGCAGCTCTTTGTAGCTAACTGTCATGCAGAAAAAGCAATCTTCTGACATGCAGGGAAAAATCCTGAATTTGGAAGACAACTGCACATGTAGTATCACATTTACACCTTGAGTTGCACCGTGAGCCCCTTAATTTGTGTTGACACCTTCAGCAAGGCTTCAGGCTTGTAGAAAGTGATGTGGGAGTGGGATCTGCTGCTTTTTATCCATAATTTTACCTCAGAGAAGCTGGACAGGCTCTGTACACAATGTAGGTATGATCAGTATTCTCCATTAGTACTTTGATGAAGTGTGGATGATTAAAGGTTAAAAATTACTTTGAGATAGAAAAGCTACTTACAATAAACTCCAAAATATAGGAGAGGACTTTTGACCACATCAGTCAGAGCAAGCTCTTAACTTGAAAACTATTGTATGCTCTTTAGTATTTATAAAATGTAATCAGGCCTTCAGATTTTGACACTGGTTAGGAAAACTGCTTCCACTTACAAGGATTGCTGTGACATGATAATATTTGGCTCTCTGAGGCAATCCTGCAGTTGTAAACTTCCAACCATATTGGAATGCAGCACACTAATTAGGCAGGGAAACTGATCCTTTGGGTCATATCAGGTATCAAGGAAATTAGCCATCCTGTAAATATGTATTTTCATGTCACAGGAATATTTAGTGACTTAAAACAGTCACTGAACTGTATCAACATTGGTACAGTTGTCCTTCAGCACCTGAGGCTGTAATAATGTCTCCAAAAGGATGATAATGTCTCATAGGTGATCATTACCAGAGCTACTGTGGTGTTAATTATGACAACAAGACTGTTGATTTCTTTTCTGAATGATTTTTTTTCTTCTCAAACACAGTTACATATGTTATCTCTTTCATAGAATTAAATTATTTACTGTGTGGAATAGTGAGGAGACTCAGCAGGACTTTTGGGGCAGGGAAAGAAAAAAGGACGTCTGATAACTTTTTAAAACACACTGGCTATAATTCTAAGAATAATTATTCTTGGATAAATCCTCCACAGAGGGAAGAGGAGAAAGAGGAAAAGAATAAAAATCCAAAGAAGAAAAATCTCTAAGGGAAAATAAATTTCCTTTCAGGTTCTCTTTGGGTCTGGCACAAGTAATGGTATTAGCATAGGAGAGCTGGTAGACTGTAAAGATTTTAAAAATCTTTGTAGCAAATGTAAGAAAGGATGTCCTTGAGAAACTTTTGAATTTAAAAAAAAAGCAACTTGTTCTGGAAAATACCTCTCATGTTCTAGAAGTATGAAGTGTGGTCTGTTCCCAGAGCCTTTAAATCTTAGTCTGGGGAAAACAAGGATTTTATGCCCTGAACTGGTAAATGATCATGCTGGTGCCTAACGTCCTCATCAACTTCAGTGTGACTAGTCAACTGTATAAAGTCATTTATATGTATAAAGTGCTTGCAGGATCAGAATGCAGATTAGTTCTTGAGCCCAAGCTACAGTCTCACCCATATTTTTGCGGCTGGCTAATAAAAAGTTTTAAACAAGTTTTAAGCTGCATGAAGTGCCATGCTTATGGCATTTGCCTTCCTTAAGAAAGCCTGTGCAGGCAAGGTTGAGGTTAGAGACCATACATTTATTAACTCTGATCTCAGAGGGCATTTCACTAGCTTTTCATTTGATTAAACTGCTTGAGTTTATTCAGTCTTTACCTTAGTTAGCACAGCCTTCAGCCAGCAATCAGCACTGAATGTGTAGTAAAGGATCACATATTACCTAATTCAAAACTACTCTCCAGCCCTTTAGCTACAGAAACCTGTTCAAGCCTCAGTTGTGTATCTTAACACGCATTATGCAGGTACACTAGCCTACAGTAACTTAAAATGTTTGGTTTTCTTTGCATGCAGGCTGCAGCAAATACAAAAAGATTCCTTTCACTTCCTAAAAACACTAAACTCCCAGAGAAACTACGAGTGAGAAATAAAACATCTTCCAGAGGTAATGACATTTTTTTGCTTTTCTCTTACTGTGCTGCAGTCATTTTGCTTACATAGAAGGAAGGTTTTTCCAGGGATGATGTAGAGAAATAAGCAAACTAGAGCATTTAAAACAGTGTGTCCTAAAGTAGAAATGTGAGTGTAGAGAAATGCCCTGGACAGCAGGGTTTTGTGGGGTGTTCTTGCTTCCTCTCCCATACTGGCATAGTTCTCCCAACACATCTCCTGTCAGCAAGGAACTGCCTGCTGCACTTCTGCACCAGGAACACTGCCATGGCTCATTCTTCTCATCTTTATTCCATAATCCAGATATCCCTCCTGGATTATGAGCCTATTTGTTTCTTTTCTCTCTGGGGTCAGGGTAGAGGACACTGCTCTGAGAAGCAAACCAGAGAGGGTAATGACATTAGATATTAGATCTAGTTTATTGTTCTCATGAAGAACTCAAAATGCTGTGGTTTACAAGGTTTACAACCAAATTGTTAACTTTTTTCCTCTGCCTAAACTCACAAATGTTTTAAATTGTAGTTTTTGAGTTCTAACAAAAAATCTGTTGGAGCACAATATTTGATTGAAAACTTTGCCCAATTCTATATATTACTTTTGATACTGGTTTTATTACTGTGCTTATATCATACTCAGGAGCATTTCCTTTCATGACAAGATGTCATAAGGATCTCTTGCTGGGAAGAAGAAACCTGTGCAGAGTTTCTAAAATTTCTTGATCTCCACCCCAATTAGTTTTCCACTCTTCCCAAGTAATTTAACAATAGACTGTGCTTTTGTCTGTTAATAATGATATCACTGCTCTCCTGAGTGTAGGATGCCTTTTATTCTATAGTTAGTCTGCAGAGGTCACCTACTGTCACCTAGAATTAAAGAGAAAATATGCCTCCAGATTATTAAATTGTCAAAAAATATATTATTTGACATACTTAGAAGGGAAAAAGCCTGAAAACACAGTCTGATGAAGACCTGCCTTGATATATAATTTTCTGGGTGAATGGACAATTACATGGTGATATATTTTGTTGACCCCTTCCTCACCTTTTTAAAAGAAATAACATGAAGGCTACTAATCTAATTTGTTCATATGACAGTTGCACAGTTGTTTACTTTGATATATTTAAAACATCATATCTGATTTAAGTCTAAAAACAAATCTGAGGCATTCATAAACTATTGTTAAAATTATTATCAAATATCTCAAGTGTGCAAGTTTTGATGAAGATGTTAATTATTTTTAAAGAAGTCTGCTGGGGAAAAATATTTGCACATGTGCACATCCAGACTATCTCCAGCTTGATTTACCTGGCAATGATCATTTAAGGGCATTCCCTAAGCAATGATGCCACCTTTCCCTAGAGCATATTCTACCCTGCTCTGAGTGGGAGGAGGAGTCTGCAGCACTTGCAACCTCTAAGATTTGCCCTGTTGATTCTCTTTCATGTCTTACATTCAGCCTTATTAAGGATGGGCTATTTCTACCCATCTGTACATTGATCTTGAGTGATCCTTTGCCTGGTAAGAGTATTGATGTTCCTTTTCCAAAGTCAAGTTTCTAGAGCCCCTGTACATGTTGTGCTCTAGAAATGCCTCTCAGTTTAGATTTCATGAGATGTGGGGCTGAGAAATCTAATTTTGGTATCCTGCTTGGATGTAAGCAGGGACTAGACCCTAAGCTCAGAGAGATGCAGTTTTTTCTGTCCAGAGAACTGGAAATTTTCCAGAACTGGGGAAATGTCACTTCAATCAAGGGACCCCTCGGCAATCAAGGAGCAGCTGCTGAGTGAAGCCTGTCTAAAAATCACACTTTTGAGGGTAGGGATGTTTTTAAGTCAAATCTGTCCCCTGTTTTGGCAGAGTTAAGAGGCTGTTACTGGGTCTAATCAGAAAGCACTGAAGATAGAAAAATATGGGGAAACTTTATTCTATGACTGCAAGGGCCCTGTGTGCTGTTTACTCAGATAATTCCTGAAACAGTGATATTCTACACCTAAAACTCTACTTTTGTTTTCAATTAACAGTGGGAGACAGCAGTGACTCTGAGCTGGATGCTGCTACCACAGTGCTCAATCTAAGGCCCAGAGCAGGGAAAATCTTGAGAGACCAGAGACTGAGACAACAGAGGCCATTACCTGAGTTTAGGGTGGAGTGGAAGAACGAAGTTGACGGGAGCCAGGACGGACGAGGAGAGCAGCAGGACCCAAGCACCTTGCCTCAGCCATCCATTGGGTTCAGGCAGCCACTGCTGACCAGACCAAGATTTGGCACTTTGAGCAGGGAAGATTTGACTGCAGACCATGGGTCAGCCAGACCTATGCCACCACCACGGTTAGTTAGGCAGGCATCGCAAGGGGACAGGCAGAGAAATAAGCCTGAGAACCAGCTGTACTGAACATAGCCAAAGGAGAACTATTGATAATTAACCATGGACATACTGAATTAGGATTCTCAATGATCTGATCAGACTATGGGATCCATTAAAATAACAAAACAAGCCTCCATCTGGGTCTAACCACTTCCATTTGAGTTAAGTCAACTCCATTAACTAAGTGAAAGGAATACTGCAGCAAATGCAACGTTAAAGATACAAAAAATAATATATCTCTTTTACAAATAACTTATGGCAATGCTTTAATTTAATTACATTATTTCCACTGTTAAAATAGTATGGAAATGTGCCTTATCACATCATCTCTCATGGAACCAAGTCACGAAGGTTCAATATCCAGTTTTCCGTTGAAATCATTGTTGAAAGTCCAGTGATGAATAGATTCTTAAAAATACCCCCAAACTTTTTATCATTTCAGATTTTATTTATAATCAATAATACTTGTTTTAACGAGAGCTTCAACATGAATACCACTGAAAATTGCACAATGCACCTATCATATAGACTTCTAAAGAAGAATAAATATATTCCTGAAGCCTAGTTTGCTCGAAGACCTCTGATGCAGAAAAAGAGGAAGAAGAGAAGAAACAAGCTGTAGGGGAATTGCAAATAAGGCTTATAAAAAGGACTTGCAACAAAGACCTGAATAGCTTGAATTTTTACTTTCTGAATTTTTGGCAATATGTTACCTTTGAAAGGTACTAAGGATAACCAAAGAAAAACTGAATTACCTTGGCTTTCACTTCTGTCAGCAAGAACTGAGAGCGCTTAGCAGGACACCAGAAGGCCTAAAACCAGAAAACTTCAAGTGGATAAATAACGTTTTGAATGAAAATTGCTTTTTTGCACCTTAGTTACTTGGTTGCAATGTAATGCAAATGCAGCAGTAGAATAGTTGCAGAGCACTGCACGTAGACAAAGCGAGCAGTCTCCTGTTTGAGTCAGGGACCACTGAGACTCAAGCAAGCTCATGCTTGTGACCCTGGTTAATTTGTTTTACTTTTTGTTTCCTCATCTGTAAGAGGGGAAAGGTAATCTTTTCTTTGTCTGAGCTATGCACTCCAAGGAACAAAAATGTTCCATCTAATTTGTTTTTACAGAAAAGTAGCACAGTGGGGCCCTGGAATCAGCTGAAGTCACTGTGCACCTTAATAACATGGACTTCTTGATCCTAGAATCAATGGCTGCCGTTTGAGGGCGTATGGGAAGCATTAAAATAAATGATACTTAACTGTAGCTCTCAGGAATTTGCACTTTCTGTCCCATTTAATCTAAGTACTGAGCTTGCTTTAGCACAGATACACATTTCAGTACAATGCAGAAATAGTTTTCTTTCTACTTGTTACAAAATTGATAACTTTCATTGAAGAATGTACACTGTGAAATCATAACTTTTCTCTTTCATTAGCACATTTCTAAATCTGTGGGCAATAAGATTATTTTTTTTATTTAAGCTTGTTTTGAAAGAACTATTAAAAATCAGAGTTTCCTTTTAAAACCACAAAGTAGATTTCTTTCAAATGTTCATGGGTGGGGTCGATAAGCAGGGATGTAAGACTTTCCTTCTTCTAAGAGCATTTCCAAAATACTTATGTCATGTATGTATTTGAAATATCAAACCTTCCCAAACTCTTTCCTTAGGTCCTTTAGTCTTTTTCCTCTGTTCAAGCTATGGAAAATTCTGCTGTGTGGCAAAAGCAAAGTCTAAGCTGCAGAGGAATGGCTCTGTGAACCCTATAATCCTCAGTCAAATGTTCATGGGTATTCTCAACAAATGATTATTGTGGAAATCGATACTTAGCTGTCCTCTAATGATCATCTCCTGTTTGGAAATAAACTTGGGTTCAAGCAAAACCAGCAAGTTTTGAAAACAAATTTAAATTTGTCTTTCAACAGGAAAGTACTTTCATCTGTAAAACTGTCAGGGAATGCTATGTCACTGCATTATTTGGATCATGTTTGAATAAGAAAAAAGCCTTGAGTTTTGATTTCAGTTTTGAGACAACATCGTCCTTACAGATCAGATTGTTTAAATTAGCTGTTTTATATCAGGCCGATATGAAATCTGACCAAATCAATAAATGTGAAATGTTGCACATCAACATTTAGTTTACTCTCTGTGGAGTTTTCTTGTTTGTGTGCTGGTAATGACCAAGCATTTGGCTTCTGTCTGGGGAGAGCTGCCTTTCATTGTTTTTTTTTTTTTTTCCAAACAGTTGTTATTTTTTATGGCACAATTTTAAATAATGAATGCAGGTTTCAGGAGCCTTGCTGCTATGCTGGTTGCCCATTAATGCAGGGCACGCTCGCATTATTTGTGCTTAAAGTGGTGCCCCATAGTACAAGCACATCAATTTGAAGGTCATTTTTATCAAATACCATCTTAAGCTCTTGGTGCTTCAAAACATGATAGCATGTTTTTACCTTTCCAAAGCATTTGAAATCCACAGAATACAAGCATCAAGGCACATCTCCATCATGGTCACACTGTGAAACAGAGTTGCAAATCTTCTGGGACTCTGTGTCCTTGTGACCAACCTTCTGCCTTCCTCACTTCTGCTCTTCCCACCCTTTTTAGGCTCTTATCCACTACTGCTGAATGCTCCCTTGCCATGTCTGGGAACTGATTTCTGGGTACTCTCCTTTTCAGCAGCAATGACAGCAGCAGGTGGCACAGGCATTGTTCCAGTTAGCCCTTATCATTCAACTCTCACTCTGGTTTGGGTCAGAGGTTTACCCTTGCCTCTTTTTTTTTTTTTTTTCCTCCTTTCCTGCAAAGGAAAAACACGTGAGCACTTTTTTTGAGCCTGCAGAGGAGACATCCTTCATGTTGTATCAGAGTTTGTCTGTTGGAGAATGAAATGCCCAATAAATCTGTCCTCGAGCACCATCTGATGGGGAAAGTCATGCATTGACGGAGGACGACGTTTCTTGCTTTTTCAAGGAAACCGGATCTTCAGTAGTGACTGGGAAACTTGCCAAAGCCACATACAAATATTTTGTTTCCAGATGGACTCCCCAGTACACTCTGCAGTACAGATATTTTAATGCATTTTTGATGAAGAAAGTTCAGTTTTAGGGACAGTGGGAAAATACAGTTCCACTCTGAATTAGGGTTTTAAGGATTTTCCCTTCAGCTCCTCAAAGGCCTATAAATTAAATTAGGATAAGAAAGTAGGTATAACAAGGCCTAGAGGAGATAGACACTCTGTTACCTTTTTTAGGCAGATATTTGAAAAAAACCCCAAGAATAATTTGCTGAAAGAGCTAAAATTTTAAGAGCTGTCCTACTTTGTACTAAAATATAATGCAAATTCCACTGAAACCAGTTCAACAAAAGAAAACCTTGCTGCATAACAATTTAAAAATTAGAGAATATCCTTCTGTACTAAAGCCACATAGAAATGACATGGAAAAACAAAGTTAAAATTTTTGCCAAAATAACATGCCTGCTGTTATGAAGGGTATCTTGGGCTCTCTGGAAGCAAACACACTGCACCCTGCACCAACTTTTTAAAGAACTGCCAAGTCCACTAATTCCAGACATCAGCTGACCCTCCAAGAAATGCTTTAGGTCACCATTTCCAAAATTGTTGAAGTTCTGCAAACATCCCCCACACCCTGAAGAAAAGATGAAAGATTTTGAAATTGGATGCTGGAATGCTTTTTTGTACCACAAGAGCTCTGGTCCAATAAAAATATCCTTGTTAATGTGCATCAATATGGCACCCTAATTGCCACAGGTTTTGTTTCAAACAGTAATTTTTTGCCACAAAAAGGAAAAGAAATTTTAAATACTTCAGCTTACTTCAATTTTCCTCTCTGAGACCTCCTATTTATCAGATATTTGACAGAATGGAAGACTGGTTCTTACTGTAGAGCACATCTCAAAAAATAGTTCCTTGGTACTGAGATTTAAAATAATTAAAACTTTGAATTAATTTCTCTTTGTAAATTAAAATGTAAGTTTTTCAAGACTTCCCTTTAAAATAAGCTGTATATTCTTTCATTTCTAAAAGCAGTCTGACCTCCATTCACAATCATTTGATTCTCAAAGTTCAGGCACTCTTACAAGATTCATGATCAGCTCTTTGAATTAGTCTTCAATATTATAGCAATAACAGTACAGGCAAATCTTGGGTTTTCAAATGCCAAAGTGCCAGGCTGTAAAGGATCATTTACCCAAGGGTATCCTGCAACACCCACAACCAGATTGGCACTGGCAGCACCCATAGAGGTTCCCAGCAGCAGGAATGTAATGGCACTACAGAGAACCTGAAGTAATGAGCAAGCCAGGTCATGAACAATGCTACTCCTATTTTGTTGCTGCATTATCTGCTCAATAATCCACTTGTTCTCAGAAGATGAGAATGGTACTGACCTCTGTGATAGTGCTGCAGTGAGTAAATTCAGAAGCATGACAAGAAACGCAAGTCTCAAGAAGTGGTGTATTGGGTTTGAATGGCAAGGCTTTGGTAGCAGGGTGGTGGCTTCTCTGAGAAGCTGCCAGAAGCTTTCCTTTTGTCTGACTGAGCCAATGCCAGCTGGCTCCAAGGTGGACCCACTGCTGGCCAAGGCCAAGACAATCAGTGTTTGATAACATATTAAAAAAGGAAAAAAGGAGTTATTTTGTAGAAGCAGTTGTGGCCAGAGAAGAGAGGAGTGAGAGAAACAACCCTGCAGACACCAAGGTCAGTGCAGGAGGGAAGAAGGCCCTAGAGCAGATTCACTTGCAGCCTGTGTTGAAGACCATGGTGATTACATGATGACACAGCTGTGCTCCTGCAGCTCATGGAGGACCACAGGGAGCAGATATTCACCTGCAGCCTCTGGAGGATTGCATGTCACAGCAGATGGATGTGCAAAAGAGGCTGTGAGTGACCCCGTGGGAAGCCCACATAGGAGCAGGTTTCTGGCAGGACCTGTGGATCCATGGAGAGAGGAGCCCACAGTAGAGCAGGTTTGCTGGCAGGGCCTGTGGATCCATGGAGAGAGGAGCCCACAGTAGAGCAGGTTTGCTGGCAGGACCTGTGGATCCATGAGAGAGGAGCCCACAGTAGAGCAGGTTTGCTGGCAGGACTTGTGACTCCATGGGGAACTCACACTGGAGCAGTCCGTTCGTGCACCCTGTGGTAAAGGGACCCACACTGGAGTGGTTAGTGAGGAACTGTAGCCTGTGGGAAGGGGTCACGTTGTAGAAGTCTGTGGAGGACTATCTCCTGTGGGAGGGACACCACGCTGGAGTAGGGGAAGGACTCTTCTCTCTGAGCAGCATCAGAAACAACGTGAGAGGAACTGACCATCTCACTACTCATCTCCCTGTGCTGCAGCAGGGGAGGAGGTAGAGCCCGGGAAGGAGGGAGGGGTGGCAGGAAGGTGTTTTTAAGATTTATTTTACTTCTCATTATCCTGCTCTGATTTTCATTGGTAATAAATTCAATTATCTCTCCAGGTTGAGTGTATTTTTCTCATTAAAGTAATCAGTGAGTGATCTCTCCCTGTCCTTAACTCACGAGTCTTTTATTTTCTCTCCTCTCCTCTGTCTGGTTCCAGAGGGGAGTGGCTTTGGTGGGTACCTGGTGTCCAGCCAGGGTCAAACCCCCCAACTGATATGTTTATAAAGGGTCTCTTCAAAAGTACACAGCCTACCCCAACAGGAAAAAAAAAAAATCTTACCTTTGCTTCATCATTTAAAAGCAGTAAAATCAGTACTTATACACAGCCTCTTCAACATGAGCTGATCAAAATTGTCAAAAAAGTCACTTGACTTACCAAAGGGAAGGGCAAAGATCAAAAAAACCCAAGGAACCAAACCAAAACCCAACCCTTCCTACAGGCCCAAGAAAAACCAACCCAAAATAAAGTAACAGCAAGCAAGAGAAAAATCTTAATTTGCAGTGGTTTGCTGGCAGAAACTGTTTTCCTTTAGGCCATATTCAGATCTGGTTTGTTACAGTCTTCTACAGAAGATCCTACAACTGGATTCAAGAAACAGCTGAGTAATTCAGTAGTTTGCCCACTAGACTGGAGCCAAAATTAGCTGCAACTGCTGCTTCCTCAACTTAAAATGGGGAATCATATCTCTGTATCTGCAGGAATGTCATCAAATCTTCACTCCCTGACCTTGCATGGTTATAGCAACGAAGAGGCAACACAAGGGATGCAAATGTGGCCTCCAGGCACAAGGAACAGTAGCTTTAAGGACTTCATCTCAAAACTGCAGAGTTCTCCATTTTATTTTATTTCGTCTTTTTCATTCACTGCCAAGCCACTTATTGGTTGAATCCTTGGTTCCTGTGCCCTTTATGAGAAATGTAGACAGATTCAAATGATTTTAACCACAGCTTGAGGAAAAAAAAATAAAGCATCCACACTTCACATTGACTTGAACACTTCTATTTTGTGCTGTAGCTTCAGCAGAGGAAGATGGGAAGAAAACCACAGTGACATAATGATACATACATAATGTCACTTCATTTTATTTCTTAAAGTCCTTAAAGAAAAAAAAATATAGTGCAATTCTTCTGTACCAATACAGAAAAGAAATATTTCTGTGGCACTTCAGGAATAATTTTGGCCTACAAGTAAAAAACTTCTGTAAAATGTGTTACGAGTTCCCAAGACCACAGGCTTCCACAGATTTCTCAAATGTGAGGCTTCTATAGCCTCCATTCAGTAGGATATATATTAGGATAGATGTACACAGAAGTCAGATTAAATCAGTGCAGTAATTTAGAAGGGTAAATATTATGTCATATAATCCACAAGTATTGGAAAAATTACGAAATCATTCATATACATTAATTTTTGAAGGTTTTTTTCCTTTGACTCTTTTCCTTAACCCCTTGCTAGAGATGCAAAACAGAATGCCCTTACTTACAGAATGGAGGTTTTAAGTAAAGGAAAAAATAAGAAAATTAAAAGATGGAAAGAAACAAAATAGGAAATTTAAAGCAACAATGTTTTGGGCATCTACCAAGAAAGGCAAGAGAAGATAAGAGACTTGAAAATGCCTCAAGTTCCTAGGGAGAAATGAAACACATATTACTGTAATAAAGAACTCTGAGGATATGTACTGAAATAAAATTAAAACAATTTAGAGTTCCATATATGAATTCCTATGGTGCTGCCACTGGAATCACAGAGTTTTCAGAAAATATTTGAATGCTAGTAGGCAGTGGAAAAGGTAAAGAAGAAAATGAAAATAAATACAAGCACTATCCATGACTGACTGAAGCAGGAAGACTGTGCACTGATGTGTTCAAGGGATAACTAAATTGCATAACCCCCCCCAACCAAACACTTACATAGTTGACTTTGTACTTTCATCAGGTAATGTAATGAAGATCATAGAGAACATTATCGGAGCAAAATACATTTTTTCCATGTTTCATATGAAATACAAACAATCGTAACTTTCAAGTAATGAGCTTGAACAGTAAATAGCACAGGAGTGCTACAACTCTGTACAGATCTGAGAGTAACCTCTCTTCAGTTAAGCCATGCACACAAATGAGGACTAAAATAGTAACAAAACTGTACTTCTCTTGTCACCAAAATGTCACTTATGGCTGAGATGAGACAGGATGCATTAATCCAGATCTATGAACTACTGCTAGATGCTCACACCTTTAGTCATTTGAGAGAATTAAGAAGGACACTTATTCTTAAAGTGAAGGTAGAAAAATTGCACAGGAAATATAAATAAAGAAATTATGACAAAGTTCCTCAGTAGAAATTATTACTAAACAGAAGCCACCAGTTCAAATTTCAATAAAACTTAAATTCAGCCTCAGTTTCAGTCTGAATGGCCTTGTATTATTCTAAGATTAGGTCTTCTAGTACATGAAGTTAGCATATACCCAATTCTGTTACTTGGGAAAGACCAGGAGTCAGCTGGGGTTGCATGATTACTCCAAAGTGCCCAACCATTGTCCGCAAAAAGTTCTCTGGACAAAACATGCTACACAAAAATCACATAAGCAAACATCCTGTTATATAAGCTACTGTCATAACAGACAAAAGGAAACAGACCACAAAATAAGAAATTAAGGCCAAACATATTGCAAATTCTCCTGATTAAATAACAAAAATTCACCTCTGATTCACCCTTTTTAAACAATCTTTCAATCTAAACACTGTTTCAAAAATGAGCTACAAGCAGGATTTGTGCGTTTGCCGACATTCTTTTTTCCCCTCCAAAAAGAATGTTAAAGGTTAAAAATACATTTAAAAAATCACAGCCAGTACAATGGGAACCTGTTGGAATAACATCTGTCTAAATATCCCTGCAGCAGAAATACACATGTATACTTGTTTCCACAGGAACATAATGTGCTCTCTTTAAAAATCATGTAATTACTGTACAAGCCTGGCAGGTGAAGATACATCTGTGCAATCCAAAATTGTGACTACTGATCCTTTAACTTCCCACTTCCATGACTATGGTATTTTTGTTTGTTTGCATTCATTATCACAATAGCAACTAATGCTAGTCCCACAGCTAGACTTGGAGGGCCACAAGGACTGAACTCCTGAGCAATTCCAGAAAGGAGTGGGGCAATAATACGTCCCACTGATGTCACTGACTGTCCCACACCCAGGAGCGTCCCGCTGGCCTCGTTCCCACCGACAGTCAGCTCCAGATCAATGATACAGGTACGGCCAATAGTGGTGGAGAAGGCCAAGAAGGTGGAGGACAGAATGACCATCCATATGCTCGGTGCTGAGGCATACAGGAGAATCAGTGTGCAGGTAAAAGTGCTGGAGTGCAACAGAAGTCTGTAAGTGTTGTGCCCATAGAGTCTTGTTATTGGCCCGAGCAAACAACCAGCCAGGACTCCAAGCGCACTGCTATAGCTCATGAGGTATCCAGAAAACAAGGGTTTCACCCCAAATCTCTCCTCCAAGGCCAGAGTAAAATTACTATAGTACAGCAGTATAGCAACAGACATCAGGAACCGTACTAAAAATACATCCCACAAATTAGAGCATGCTATTCCTTTAATTTTCTTCAGCACTGTTGCAGCTTGGATCCATGGAGACTGGAAAAAACTACTGTTTGTCACAGCTCTACTAGTTGCTGATTTCAAGTGATGTTTATGATTTGATTTTGCTGAGAAACTGTTTGTTTCTTTGTCTTGGTAATGGTTCCTATTGCTAGTGTTTTCTTCACTCCAGGGTAACATCCAGACAAGACCTATACAGATGAAGAAATTAGTTGATTTCATTCAAATGCATCAACTTTACAAGGAAGATATTAGTTTGATTGTAACAATTTATAAAATACTTCAACAATACCTGTCCTTAAAAAATTTGCAAATATTAAGTCTAGTGTTATTCGTAGTATTGGTTCAATTTTAAATGCAGTGAAAGCAAGAAAGGAAAACACTGAAATGCCAAACTCACATGATAGAAACTAATCAATCTAATGGCTAAAGCTAAAATTCTGATTTCTAGTCTTCATCTTTGGGCACATCAAAAACTCCCATTTGTGTCTGAATGTAAAGAGGACATAGGCAGAACAAAGGAGAAGCACCTGGAGGATAACTGTTTCAAAATTCCCACCCTTCCACATAAGTTCAAATTCAAACAGTAGCATTGGCATACAAAATGATTATGCCATAGATGATAAACACACTGTGCATTCAAGGTATAACAGATGGCTTAAAAGGACAAAATGAGGAATGAAGGGACCCAAGATGCAGAATGTGACATACAACTTACCACCATTCAGAAGGAAGATGGAGGCACAGATGAAGGCCGTTTGGTAAAAGCCACCTTTGAGCTCTGCAAGATAGCCACCAACAACAGGTCCCAGAATGAAGCCCACACTGGAGGCTGCATTGAAGCGCCCCATTACTAAAGGGCGATCCCTCTCCGAGACCAGGTCAGACAGCAGCGCTTTAGAGATGGACAGTGTGTGCTTGAAAATACCTGCAACAAAATACAAACAAATCAATAAACATGTATCTCTCGGTCCAAAAAAAAGACAGAATCTATCTCAAGTCAGAATGGTGCAAATTTGTATGATTTATATTTTTAAAATCCCATTAATCACAAATTCTTTAGTGCCGGAGTAAGCAGCTTTGTGGGGTTTAGATGCCTGGTGGGTTAGGCCTCAACATTTCAAATTATTTTCAGAAAAAAAAAAGAAGAGAATTCTTGATTTGTAGAGACTTTTCAATACTAAGGTTCAGTTGGTGCTACTGGATGATGATGCTATGCAGTCATCCATACACCATGATTTCTCCTATAGTAATTCTCAACCTGAGACTACAGGGAATTTAAACTGCAAAATGCAAAATGCCAAGTGTTTACTCACCTACAAGGACTCTAGAAATAGCAAACAGGAACACTGTGGTGGAATTTCCAAGAAGGAAGTAACCCAGTGCACTGAGAAGAATACAAGCAAGCAGGGAATACTGTCTTCCTACTATATCACTCCAGCAGCCCTTTCACAAAGCAGGAAAGAAAGATTAGCTTTTTGTAACACTAAACTATGTGCAGTGATCAATCAGTAATTCTACATTAAATTGAGAAAAGACATCAAAGGACTGTCAATGAAAGCCTAATAAGCTTATTACACAACATTCCTAAGTGCTCAAAATTTGGAAGTCACAAGGAGAGCTCTGCCCTCCTGGCAGGCTACCTGCCAAAATTATGATTTCATTTAATGTTGTGTATACAGAATTTTTTTAATTAAAAAAATGACCCTTTTAAAAAGACAGTCCTGCGATAAATACCACAAAATATGACCAGTAGAAGCCTTCTGAAAATCTTACCATTATCAGTCACAAATATTTGCTTGCATTACTCAGGCTGCTATGTATTAAGACACTTGTTGAACATCCTAAAAGCAATGATCTTGGCTATGAAGAGTTTGTTATCTGAGCACAGACATGTAAGAAGTAGTTTGCAGAGGGCAAACAGAAAACTTGCATTTATCATGCTTTTAAATTAGCTTGATTTCCAAGAGGAAATAGTTTTTTAAGAAAGTAGACAATGGTCTTGCACTTCCAAGAACATGCCACAAAATTACAGCAGGAAATTATCCCAGGTGTCCTGCATAACAAACCCTGAAACAGTTCTTTTATGAGACACTCTCATAGTATGTTCTCTTCAAAACTAGAAAACTAATACCAGGGTAATATTAGGATATAAAAATCAGTAGCTAATAGAAAACAAAATGAAACAAATTGCAAAGATGCAACGGTTAATTTATACCATACAGTGAATTACAAGACATTGCTCCTTAAGCAGGGAAAGCAAACTAGATCATAGGCTATGAAAAGCTGACTCATGAGAATGCTTTCTGGACAGGCTACTGCACTGCAGGAAACTGCTCCACTAGCACCAACACTAGAGGAGCTAACCCTGTGTAACTGTGACCTGCTCAGTCAGGTATCTGAGCCCAAATCTGTATTCTAGTGTTTGTCTAAAAACTGTATTCTCTTTGGGCCTGAAAAACCTGGCAATTCCCCATAAAGAAAACTGCCATTTCTCATGCAAATTGAAAATTGGTTCCTCCAACCAAAATGCTTGTATGAACACTTTATGCATTTTCAAAATGTCAAGAAATGGTATTTTTAACCCCACCCTTTTCCCCCCTACAATCCATAGAAATACCAATATGCTCTGGAAAGCAGTGTTAGAACTCACCACAAATGTGCTGGTAAATAGCTGCATGATACCATAGAGAGATCCTAAAACAAACAAAATACCAGTGTTAAAAATTCAGCTTTTTTTTTTTAATGAAAACTGCACAAAATTTTAAATTATGAAAAATGGGAAAGCATGGGAATAGTTTACTAGAAGAATGGGAAGAGGGAGCAGGACAAACCAAGGGTGGAGTTTAGCACTTAATATAGGAAATAGTTTCAGGGAATGACAAAATAAAAAAGAAAAAAGTGCTGAAAAGTTGTAAAACTATGTAAGGCAAAATGATGTTGCTTTGTATGGTGTATTAAACAAAACCAATCTTGGCATTTATAACTGCTTTCTCAGAATCAGGAGAGAATTTCTGTACTGGAAAGGCCTTTCCACTTGGTGCTTCAGTCTACTACAAGGCACCACAGAAGCCCTGAAGAAAACACAGACCCTACTTTCTCATTTTGGAGGTTAGGAGTTTAGCAGCATTTAGTGACAGAAGAGAAGGAGCAGAGAGAAGCAGAGAGAAACATCTGCTAGACTCTTTCATTTATATGAATACACCTCAAAGCTATTTTTTTCCTAATGTTAAAAATCAAAGCAGACTGTTGAAATGAAAACATATGTCTGACTAGTTTCTGCTTCAAATAATACTTTCAACTCAGTATAGAAGCAGACTTACTTCATACAAAGTGTTAAATAAGAATGCAAAATAATAAAACTGAATAACAGCTCCCATGTCTGGGAATAAAGAAAATACTGTATCACTCCAAACCATAAACAATACCATAAAAGGTATTTTAAAGACACAAAACTTACCTAAACACTAAACACTTTAAGATAAAATTCCAAATCTTCAGAATTTATTTGTAAATACTTGTAAAAGTGAATAAATATTTTGCCAAGACTCCTGTAAGGATTTTAATCAAACTGGGAACAGTCATGGACATTGGAAAGCTTTGGAGAACCAGCTGCAGAAGCACCATTTGCTAAGTGTAAATAACAATAAAACTACAAGCAACACCTCTGGCTCTCTAAATTGCTAAGCTGGAGAAGCTTAGCAATTCTTCCATGCTGGAAAGTAGCTGTACAAATGCTACTGCAAGACTTCCTTGTTCTTTCCTGTTGTGCTCTTTCCCAAGCATCTGGCTACAGTCAGTGCATGAGTTTGGACAGGTCTCTGGGTCTAACACAGTATGGCTGCCCTTATAGCTTCATGTGGAAATTGTCTTTATTTTTTATTATGCTATTAGCTAGGAAGAACTGTGTTCCAATGTCCAATTTGCAGCAAGGCAAAATCCAGGCCTTATCTTACTATTTCATAAATCAAGTACTGCAACTCACCTATGATTCCAGCAACTGTATGACTTGCTCCTAGAGATTTGATATGAAGATTCATTAAAGGAACCACCATGCTCACCCCAAATAAATCCTGAAAAGAAGGCAGGAAAAGTTTTAGTAACTTTCATAAAGACAATAGCAACCTGGCTTAATAACAGTCATCATTAGAAAAATAAATTTAAAAAAAGTAAATTATCTCCATATCAACACAAGGTTAAAAGAAAATTTTTCATATTACAAAACACATAAACTGAAAGATAAAGGATTGCCTCACAGAGGAGTTAAACCTATGAAAACATCAATTTTCTTCCCCGACTCTAGATGCAATCTTTCTGGAGATATATATTTAAACATTAAATATTCCTTTAAATATATTAAACTTTACCTGTTTAACAAGAAAAGTACTTTGTATTAGCCCTTTAAATTCAAAGTAGTCTACTTTCAATCACCTAAACATGCTTTTTATTTGTGCAAAGAACGTATATATTGAAAAATGGTACTTTCACCCAACTACAATGGGGAAGAAGCTACAATAGATCTAAACCTACCAACACACTGCCTTTGTGTATAGCTTAAGAAATGTGACAAGACAGAAACTAGAAAAAAAAAAAAAAAGGCAAAGCATAATTGTAAAACGTTTTGTAAGAGGAGGGTAAAGGACACTGCCCATCCTGAGAAGTACAAGGATCTCCTACTTGTTCCTTTTGCTTTATTACTTTTTGTTAAACTCACCACTTTGACCCAGTAGTTCTTTCAGTACTACTACAATCTGGCACAGCATCCAGTGTCCCTAGGAGATCTATTGGAGCACAATCACCTTTCATCACTGACTGCTTGAACTGAACTAGACTACCTCAAAGACTGATTAACTGTAACAATGTGTGTCACTAAGCAAATTCTCACAGTCTGTCATTAATTATTTTTTGATGGTTGAAATTGAGGCTTACAAGGTTAGAATCATTAAACACATGAGCATGAACAAACAGAGCACACCACTTACAAACATCCTCAGTAATACAATCTTAGCTGTCATCTGTGAACCTGAAAGAAAGGTTCAGTGAGCTTGTCCAGGTCATCAATGGAGACATGAAGAAGTACAAGTCTCAGACTATACCCTGGCAGTACTGGACTGTCACAAGCATGCAGGTAGAGCAAGACCCATCAACCACAATCCTTTGATAAGTTACATCTTATTCCACTGTGTAATTCCTTCTGTAGAGTGACAGATATGCTGTATTTATTTATCTGCCTACAGGAAGTTTGCATCACCACATCCTCTAAAAGGACACTCACTTGGTTGATTTTTTTGTGTGCTCCAGCTCAGTGTCAATAAACTATTTCAGGGCTGGAGAACCACAGCCTTTAAAAGTCAGTTAAAAGGAGCAGAATTCGCTGTAATATTTGCTCCAGGACATAAACCAGCTGGGTCGTTTCTATCGCCCTATTAAAAGTAGGTAAGACACTTATCTTGACATTTCACAGTGCAAACTCATACTCATTTTGTATTCATTTTCCAAATCGTCGCTTTTAATTTCAAATTAATTAAACGGCACTTTCCTGAGGCTCAGGAATCACTACAGAGTATGAACCTTCTAAAAAGTCTGTTCTTCCAATGGAGGACTTTTTTTTTTTTTAAGAGAAACATATTTTTAGGGTTTTTTTTTGCGTGGGGTAAATTTACAGGAACCACGGGTATTTCAAGAACAGGAAGCAGCTCTCTTATAAGCACCAAGGCAAGACTCAGCTTTTCGGGTGCTACGCTATTCCATGGCATTCAAAGGATAAAAATCCGACCTGTGTGTCGAACTGCGTGGATGTTGGCAGGGGTAAAAGAGCCCAGCCGCTGCACACCACCAGCGCTACAAGCCCTGGCGTTCCCGAGGGGCCGCTGCAGCGATGCGCCCCAGCAGCCTTGGCCTGCAGAGGAGCCGGTTCCCGTTCCCGGGCGCGGCCGCCCGCCGCAGGCCCCAGGGCCGCCGCTTACCAGGAATCCCACCGCGTAGAGGCACCGCACGAAGCGGGCGGACGCGGCCGGGCTCGCTGTGGTCGCCCGGCCGCCGCCAGCCTCATCCTCCTCCTCCTCCTCCATGCGGGCGGCGGCGCAGGGCCTGCGCAGTGCCCGCGGCTCGGCGGAAACGAGAGGCGGCGGAGCCGGCGGCGGGGGAGAGTCTCGCTGTTGTTTCGTTTGGCGCGGTATCCTAAGTGTGTCCTCTTTTTCGGGCGAAGATGAGGAAGAATAAGGCTCCCTGCCGGCCTCGGGAGCCGTCGGGATCCCTGCCGCCACCCTCCCACACACACCTCTGTAGGACTTTGCACTTCCTGCCTCCTGCGTGTTTGTACAGGGAACATTTTGCAACCCGGGCCCTCGGGACCTGAGGCTCTGGGGAGGGCAGGAGGACCCAGCTGGAGCCGAGGGGCTTTGGAAACAAATATGCTGTAGGAGCACGGTGGTGGATCCCCTGCACAGTTCTGTGCACAGTGGTGGCTGTAGAAAAATGTCTTTTTGGCCCTTGCACCTCCGATCCTACGGACCCACATGGAAAGCGCCCGTGCCCCAGCGCTGCTGCTGTTCCTCGGCCATCTCTCGGGCTCAGCCCGGTGCCTGTATCAAGTGTTTCTGGCAGCAAAGTGTTTTCCTGCCTTGTTCGTGGCTTATCATGGTGGTACTGAGCCAAGGAGGAAGGGCATCCCTCTTTCTGCTTAGCACGTTCCCCCAAAAACACTGCTGTGCTGTGTTTTTGTTAAAAGTCAGGGATAGCTGGAATTGTTGCCGACTAGTATGTTATAATGCATCGGCATTCAAACCAGTGAAACTTCATAAATCTCAGAAGCACTGGTGGAAATGATTGTCACATGCAAAATATGACCACCCATCTTTATCTTGGAGTCAGAGGTTTGCTCTTTTATATAGTTGCTTGGCTAGGGATCAGTAAAACTGCTGCAGTTTTTAATTATTTTAAAAATGCACAAGGGAACAGGAGATGCTTTAACTTTTTAAAAATTATCAGTAAGAAGAAACTTTTGTAAAATGTGGATGACTCTTACACTTTAAAAGTCAGCCTGAGTTATAAAGTTTGAGGAAGATCATTCAATAACTGACAATAGCATAACTTCAATTTTATCTTCATATTTCCAGAAGAAATAAATATCACAGGGTTGAGGATCTTTTACAGATTTAGTTAACAAAAAAGAAATGGGGAGGGGAATGTGATTTTCCCATGATTATTAAAAATTAAGCTAAAAAACCCCCAAAATACTAAAATGGTAAAAAAAGACATATTTATATATATGGAGCTTATTTATAAGATACCAAGACAAAACATAGTTTCTGCATAGGGACAAAGATGTTATCAGAGTCCAGAAAATAATAACTCAGTTGTTTAATATCCCAGTGACTGTGATGTTTTTGTGTTGGGTTAACCAATATATCCTATTAATTTCTCTCTTTGAGGCCACTTTGAATAACAAATTCTCTCAGTGAGGTTTTTAAAATTCTGGATACAACACTAACGGAGATCAGTTGCTCACAATTTCTCTGAAATCGACAAAATGGTGACAAGATGCTGAAATATTGGAGCATCTTGGGAATTGCTGCTACATTGTCTGCTCAATTTTGCGCTAATTCTATCCTAGGTCATTTTAACTGATAGAGGAAATGGAAAGTGCCTGAAAATTTATTAGAAGAAAGTATTAAAGAGTTGGATGATTAAAAGATGATGCAAGGCTTTAGGTACTTTTGCTGGGGTCTAAGGGACATTGACTTCTATGCAAACACTGAGTCCAACTGAAATTTTTAATGTTTTGTGTTAGTCTCTGCCATAAGTCTCTGAAACCAGTTAGCTATTCTGTATTTTTCTCAGGTTCTGAAGATCACAATGATCAAATATGATGGGGACAAAGTATTGCAGGCAGGAATATTGAATTTCCTGGCAATGAAAATGCTTAGGTTTTGTATACTGTTTCAAGCTATCACCATGCACAATGACTTGTAAAGCAGAGAATAACCAAACTTTATGACATCAATGCAAACTGTTCATGGAAAAAAACCCCAAGCATTTAGAGAACACATTGGTGTCTCTTCTGTTAACAGATCTCTTATTGCTTTTTTTCCTGGTGAACTTGATCATATTGCTAAAGAATTGTGCATCTTACATGTTTACATAATTTACATAATATATAAGAAAGAGGCATTAATATGTGGTAATTGACAAATATCTCTGTTACTTTTAAACTGAAGGCAGATTATTTCAGCTGCCTCAAGGTTCCCATTCATGTTCTTTAATTGCAATTACAAAATTTAAGATAAAGTCTCCCAAATAAATAAATCTTAAGGTAAATGTTCTCAAATAAAGTGGTTTTATGACTGATAAGGGAATTGACTAGCAATTAAAGGAATGAAATACAATGAAGACCACTTATCAGAGCCCTAAGGAAAATAGACCTAGTCTACTATATTTGGGAGCAGAATTACATAGCTGGTTGATTAAAATGCTATTATCAATATAGTACATTTACATTACTTTAAGGTGTTTGACTTGTTACTAGATGATTCTTAAAAACAAGTACACAATAGATACTCAGAAGTGGCCAGCAGCATGTGTGTTCAGAAATGCCTAGATGATCATCTTATTTCTGTTTTTTTTTCCTGTGACCTGGTAGTAGCAATTGAATGAAAATTAATGATTTTATGGATAATGCTAGAACCAGGAAGAAGATGCAGACTACTGTCACTACACAATCAAAGTACTCTGTTTTCATTATATGTAAGTAAAGTAAGTGTGAGGTGCATCATGCAAGAAACAAAGCATGAGGAGCTGCACCTCTCTGTTGTGACAGTGATTATGAGATGCACTTGGTAGTCATAGTACTCAGCCAGCAACTGTAAGTTTTTAATTGTTATTTTGTTGCCCCCCAAAAAAGTGGTCATCTTTTGACAGGAAATAGAGGAACCAGAATTAAAAAAGCAGGAAAGCTTTATTACATTTGTATCAGTGTTTCAGTTTGTATACTAATGCAACATTGTGTCTAGGTCTGCTGTCCTAATGGATGATCAATTTTGCATAAATAGAGAGGGTTTTAAAAAAAAGGAGGAGAGAGGGTGAGAGAGATTTCAATGGCAGAAGGAACATTTCTTCTAGCATTGGGCTGCCAGAGATCAGATTTTCCACAGCCTTGTTGGGCTATTCTTGCCTCAAATTTTGAATAAGAGGAGAACTAGTCTGTGGGACAATGTCTGAGATTCAATTTGCTCATGAGGAGAAGGGATGAGGAATCTTCAGCCTTTTAGTGAAAACCTCTACTGTAAATATTTGGTGTCACCTGCCGAGCAAGGAATTGAGGCAGTCTGCAGCTGCCCTTCCTCAGCCAGCTCTGTGGCTATGTGTGCTCCAAGCCCTGACATAGTGAAAGCATTGATGGAAGTCATCTGGAATCCAATAAAATTCTTTTCAAAAAGATCCTCACGTTACTTTAATAGTGGAGAAAATTTTAAACCTTATAAATTCTTAAAAAAGTTTGAAAAATACTTCTGTGAGACAGGTCTAAGACAACTACACTGATTTATTCCAGTAATGGAATATATTCTTGAATTCTTGCATTACAAATAGGTAAGGTCAAGACCCCCAAATGTGCAATTTGTCATCAAATTTAGTGAATCTAACAATGACTTATTTCATTCTGGTTTACCGCTTCACATCGTTACGGTAACTTCAACATAATTTCAACTTTTCATATACAAATTGAATGAAGTAGAAAAAGTTACAATCCAGTGGTCTAGAACATTTTAAGAGGTACTTGTAAATGAACTTGAGTTTGGAATCTGCTGTTAATCTTAAAGACATTTAAAGTGTAATCTGTCTGAAAAGATCTGCAAATTTAAGGAATGTGGAAAGAAACCTTTTAATTGATGCCACCCTCAAAGCTGTAAATGTATCACATTGGTATGTCAGAGAGACTTAGAAAGCATTTATAAAACAGCTTGTTAAAGGAAGGAATTATTTCAGGAATTGGGTCTACTTCTTCCCTTCTGGAGTTTTTCATGGCAGCATAACTAAGGCCACATGGCTTTTTGTGTTTCCTTCAATTAATGTTTAACAGATAAAATAAATACATTGGGAATGGTTTAGATACTATCAATCCTTCTCTGGAGCAGAAGGTGGCCAGGATGACTCCTGTTGACCTCAGTCTCTTTTCTGGTATATTAAAGTACTCTTACATCACACACATCATTCCCCACTGTCCATGCCAGACCCCCCAAACCCTCACTGAGTCTATGGTTTTATTTATTTAATTATTTATTTTAAGGCCAGTGGCTCTGTAGAAGCTGGAAGGGCACAGAAAGACCTAAAGGCTAGTTCCTCAGACTTCCTGAATAAATCCAAAAATATATATATATATCAGAAGGTGTCTGTGGAGTAAATGGAAGGTGTTACAGCCTCAGAGTGAGATTCATAATAGCATCCTGCTGTGGAAGGACTTGTGTAAGGCAGCAACAAGAATGGTGAAGAAGACTCCAGCTTTTAATTTCTGACTATTTATGCATAACTACTTTCATAGGATACTTCCTGGAATACCTCCTAGAATTAGGCAACTCATTCATTTCTCTGAAAATTGCACATGTGATGTGTCATGACTTGAAAGTATTGTGGGAAATGTTAATGGCATTGGCCTGGCTTTCCTATAATTGTATGAAATTCAGAGCAGTCATGATAGTGATGTGATAAAGGAAAGCACATTCTTGTACTTCTGATAATTCTAGTTATCTTGCCCAATTTTCAGGGACATGGACATCTTGATTCAGTGTTATGACACAATTAAAAAAGAAATTATGCTTTGCTGTCTTTCTTACCTGTTTTATCTAATGTAGATTTAATGCAAGATTAAGGATAGAATGGGATGGGAATGGGATATAGAATGGGGTATATGAAACAGAGTGATCCACTCAGTCATACTAAAGTTTTGTCTTCCTTTCTGTGGCTGAATAAATCTGTGATGCTTTGTAGTGTTAAAGTCCTGAACACAGAGAGGGTATAAGGCAGGGTCCAAATGGGATGTACACCCTGGAGCTTTGTTCATCAGGGTGATTGCAAGTCTGTCAAGTGTTCCTGCAGGTGGCTAACAGTGGGTCCTGAATACACAGAGATGGGTAAAAGTAAAGCATCATAAAGAAGATTTTTCTTGTTGGTTTATTAGAATTCCTGTTGAACACATATGAGCTGCTTATGTCCCTTTTGTTCTTACTATCATCTATGTAAACTTATAGCTCCTGCAGAATGAATGACTCAGTGATACCTGTGTTCAGAATGGCTTGATTTCCTCCTTTTGTGGGGGACTTCAGCACATTTCTACAATCTCCACTCAGGTTTTACATGACCCAGCCATGTAACCTTGCTGCAAAGAAGGTAGATGGTATCCTGGTCCTCATCAGGCAAAGAATTGCCAGCAGGTTGAGGGAGGTCTTCTTTCCTCTCTACTCAGGACTGGTAAAGCCACACTTGGAGTGCTGTGTCCAGTGCTGGGCTTTGCAGTGCAAGAGACACATGAACACTCTGGAGGGAGACAAATGAGGGACAACTGAGGTGATGAAGGGATCGGAGCACCTCTCCTATGGAAAAGCTGAGAAAACTGGGACTGTTCTGCCTAGAAAAGAGAAGGCTCAGAGGGAGTTTTATATAAAGAGCCAGGCTCTTTACAGTGATGTCCATTGACAGGACCAGAGACAGTGGGGACAAGCTGAAACACCAGAGGGTCACTTGGAACCTCAGAAAAAACTTTTTATTGTGAAGGTGACCAAACACTGGCAGGTGTTTGCTCACACAAGGAGGTTCTGGAGTATCCAGCCTCGGAGATATTCAAAAGCCACCTGGACATGGTCCTGGGCAATCATTTCTAGGTGGTCCTGCTTGAGCAGGGAGGTTAGACTGGATGACCTCTAGGGGTCCCTTCCAACCTCAGTCACTCTGTCATTGTGTGACTTGTGGTCTGATTTACTGTAGTGTTAAGAAAAAAGTGGTCATATCTCAAACTAGTTATTCCAGACCTGCTCTTGGTCAGTGAACAAACCAAACCAAACCAATAAACAACCAACCAAAGTAGTTGTACTTCTAGGGCACGGTTGGTTGCACATTTAGGTGGTCATCCTAAAAAAGGTCAGATGGACTGTGCTGTAAAAGTGATATATGACTGTAGAGGAAACCTGAAGTGACCAGCTTAAAGATGAACTTCAGCCGCACATTTAAGGGACAAGGTGTGTGCAGGGTATGCTGTGTAGGTGTCTGGCTGTTTGTCTGTCTAGTACTCTCCTGACAAGTAATCGTGTCGATGCAGTAGGTAACATCTGCCCAGCTGGGGCACATGGACAGGAGGAGGGTTGGAATCAGTGGGTGAGATACTCCCATTAATGTTTAGAACAGTAAGTGAGCATTGAGGTCTCAGAAGGACTCAGCTCTGAGGCAGTTGCTGAAATTGTTTCTTGGTACATAGTGAGACATGCAGCCAGTTCTAAAGGCTGTTTTTAGATCATGGGCATATCTGCCAGCACAGATAAGGAGCTGCCTGCCAATTCCAAACATACGCACCCGACACTTACTCAATCACACACAAACATAAACAAGCAAATAAACAACATCCCCTTCCCATAAATATCTTTTTTTCCCCCTTCAGATAGAAAAGGAAAAAAAGAAACAGCCTGCTATTATTGTTTTTTAAATTTCTTTTCTATTTTTAAATACGAGGAGGGGCTCAGATAGTATGTTGAAGCTGGCACTATTATATGCATAAATAAATATGCGGATTCAGGACTTAGTTTAGCCCTATCTATCTGGTGAATAAACAGAAATGAAATCAAAAAACTTTTGCAGCTTTGTTAAATGAGACTGGAATCCATCTATTATGTGGGTCCTTCAATCTTCACACTATGAGTCAACAAAATCCATGAATGTTTGGCTTAATTTGCCAAAATAATTGAATATTAAAGCTGATTTAATTATTTCATTGTCATTATAGTAGGGATGAATTTAGCTAAGTCATTTTGGTTTAAAATGACAATATTTCTGCAGAAGTTTAGGAGTTTCGAAAGGAGTTGGGGAATGACTTTGTTTAAGATTCAAAATAACGCTTGTTTTTCCTTGATAAGCTTGGCCCTGTTTTCTCTCCCTTAAAACTTTCTCTCTTCTATTGAGGAACCTTCAGAATTTAATTTAATTAAAGAAAAAGGCCCTGAGACTTTCTTTGAGTATTCAAGTGGTGGATAACATGAATTTTTAAGCTGACATAACAAGTCTTAACATGGCTTCTGCTTCATTCTTGACATAGACGGGCATAATACTGGTGATGTTAGAGTATTTGGAAGATAACACTGCCAGAGAATGTGCCATAAATATAAAAGAGAATAATTAAATTAGATCCTCTCAGGATGAACATGCTAAACTGAGACCAGAGTGCATGTACAGTATATTAAAAATAAATACTTGCACTGCACAGGCAGTAATTCAGCTGTCATTTGAATTCAGTGAAACTTTCCATGCAAACTGATTTCAGTGAAGCTACTCACAAGAATAAGTTACTCTTGTGCAGAAACAGGCTCACAGAGTCACTGACATATTTCTGTCCTGAGGACAGGTAGGTGCAACATGACTGGAATTAGCCATTTGATATTTTTTGGTTGTTTAGTTTATTAATTGTGGTTCAGTGGCTGAGACTGGAGTCTGGAGTTCTCTTTTTTCTTCTAATTTAATGCTGGAAAAGTTCACTGTTGTGACGTTATAAGACATCCCATTATTTATGATGAGCTAAGTGGCATAAACAGTGCATTAGAATTAATTTTTAATAGATATCATGAGGAACTTAATAAAATAGATTTTGTTTATGCTGTGACTATCTATATCTTTGAATTTCACTGTATGAAATTCTTGAACTTTGGGCCAATGCTTTCTAAGGCCACCCATACACCAGCAAAAGAGTTGGGAGCTCCAGTTCACTGAGTAGGATTCAGTTGCAGATTAAGGCCTTTGCATTCAGACATCTCCATGTGAAATACAGGTCTTTGCTGCAGTCAGAGCTGATCGAGGTCTGGCTGAAACACTCAGCGGTGCCTCCAGGATGGTCTGGCAAGCTAATGGAGCCTGGCTTCAGAGGTGGCCTGGATGGCACAGGTGGTGTGAACCTGTAGCTATCACTCAGAAGAGGTGTTGGCCTCCTCCAAGTCCCTTGTGGTACCTGCCTGCCCAGTGTAGGTGCCTTAGACATCTTGGAGCACTCGGCTGTGGGAGATGACAGCAAGGCCACCATGTCACTCCTTCCAGACATGATTCAGTCACCTCCATGTAGGGTCCCAGTGCCATCCAAGGGGAGAGGGGGCATGTAAGATCCCATGTGGGGCTAGCAGGTATTTTAAAACAGAGAGGGAAATACACCCTTCTGTCAGGGCAGCTGGGAGCCAGCAGGGTACTGGCTAGAGCTAGGTGTCTGCCTAAGTGACTGAGCAGAGCCCTGTGAGTCTAATTTAGGTTGTGATGAGCTGCTCTATGGCTCCACTGAGTGTGATTGATTATGATGGAAAGACATTTAGCTTATATGAAATTGTCTAAATTTGGGCATGTTAGTGCTGAACTGAATACTACTTTTTTTTTTAGACATGTTAGAATGGAATTGAACAGAACAGAACAGAATAGAATATTTGCTGGATGGAACCTACAACAATTATCTAATCCACCTGCCTGACCACTTCAGGGATGACTAAAAGTTGAAGTATTATTCCAAATTGCAAGTAATCATTTTTATTTTATTTTATAACACATTCTATGTGCTCTTCTGTTCTTCCTTCTTGATTTTTTTTGTTTTCTTTAATAATGAACAATAAAACATCACTTTCCAAAATTAGGTTTCCAAACACCTCTCTTCTGCTGTATCAAAATGAACTGCATCAGTGGCTGTCAGGAAAAGCAAATATGACAAAAAGAGTCTGTTTGAATATTCATTTGCTGCTCTGCACACACTGAAACTCTGAAGTGCAAAAAGGCCACAGAATATTAAATGTGCTTGTGTATGAAATTAGCGTAGTATCAGGTTTGAATAAAATATGATTAATAACAAATGTGAATATGATGTTGGCAGACTGTGTAGTGGTATAAAACCACTGAGGACACAACACTAGTTCATCTGTGTAGAAATGAAGGGAGATGGTAGAAACAGCGTTTTCCTTGCTGTCCTCAAGCATGCTGATGCACTGTCCAAACCAATACTGGCATATTGAACATAAGTGCAGGAGTCCCTCTGGAGTCCTAAGTCTATTGCCATAAATTGTTGTGACAAATGTTTTCTGGAGTAAACTGGCTTAATTCTTCTTTTGAGCCCTGCACTTCCCAGTATGCAGAATCAATGGAAAATTCTACTCTGGTGATAAATAATTCCTTTGTTGGATAAGGACTGTAGGATCTGGTGCATGTTATAAACTCTACACATTTCTGTAATCCATGAGAGATGACTGGGAAGGCCTGCTTGGCATGAAATGAAGTTGTTGAAAAAGCCTTTTTCTTGTACAGTGAGTACTTGTAATTTAAATGTTTTACCTCATCACTTTCCAAAAAGGCCAAAGTGTGTTCTTGGGAAAATGTCTTCTTGTTTTAAAAAGATTGAAGTTTTTTATCAGATGCTTGAAGGAATTTTTAACTGCACAATTTTTGATATATGCAAAAAAGATGCATCTGAATAAATAAAGCATTTAGGTGTTTTTGTGTTTAGTATTGCTAAAGTTATTACTTTAAACGTAGGATGTAAATTTTTAAAGATAACTGTATTTTTATTATATAGGATTTTTCAGAGGCATCTCTTCATTTTGGCTACCATATTTTAAAATTCTATAAAAAATCCTCAGCCTTCTTTTTATAACGTGACTTATAGTAACTTCTTTGCTTTGAAAGATGTTTCCTTTCCTGCTAGCAGCTAAGGAAACATTCACCACCAGGCCTGAACTTTGGAAGTCCTTGCTACTACTGCGTGCTCTGTAATGCTGCTCACATAGATGGACAGAGCCATTGCAACTCCATCTCCACTGGTGATGATGCACCAGCTGCAATAATATTTCAAGTCAATCCCTGATTAGTTAGGGGAAGGTCAGCTATTTCTGACTGGCCTCGCCTGGACAGCGAAACAGAGCAAAGCTCTGCCATCAGTGTCCTAAAATAGAAGGGCCTTTTCATCTGTCAGACTTGAGTCAGCCACATGGAACACAAATTCGGAGACACAAATCGACTCACAGGGCATTGGGAAGAAGGGCACAGGCAGAAAGTCAAGTGAAGAGAAACTTCTTCAGATATGAGCTATTTTCTCCATACAGTTTTTTAGTTACTTTCCCAATAATTTGTTTTAAATTTATTTTACTGCTAACCTTTTCAGTAGTTAAGGTGTTTTGTTTTGTCTTGTTTTTTCCTAATAACTTCAATAATGAAACTGAGTGTGGGGATATTTTTTGGAGGCTTCTTTGCAGCTCTGGGGGTTTTGCTTTTTTTGGTGGCATTTGGAACAGATTATTGGCTTCTTGCTACAGAAATAGGAACTTGTTCAGAAGTGCCTGAAGGTGCTGGGGTTAGTATGAACTTTTTATTTATAATTAGAATTATATATGTAGAATTCTTGGATGTGTTTATTTTATAAACTTTTGAATATACTAATTTTGTTTATTTTCTAAGAATTTACTTCTGTGTATACTTTTGAATATACTCATTTTGTCCTTCTGGAGGCTTACAAGCCTGCCTCAAAACCTCTTATAATCACTCTAAAGTGAATTTTTATTTTGTGATACTGCTTTTGCAATATGATATTCTTTCAAAAGAAGAAGGACTGTTTATAAATTTTCTAGCTGACCTAAATTCAGACAGGTTGTGTGTCATTATGATGGTAGTGTTTTTTGCATCAACATCTAATTGCATTTAATTCTTTCAGCCATTCAAAAATTGTATGATAATGGCTTTCTCTATTGCATTTAATTCTTTCAGCCATTCAAAAATTGTATGATAATGGCGTTCTTTTTCTTTTTTTCCTTTTTCTGTAGGGAGAGAAGGCCACTTTCCATCATGAAGGCTTCTTCTGGAGGTGCTGGTTTAGTGGAAATGTAGGAGATAATAATGGCAGCATGTGGAAGTTTTGGTATAGTAAGTAATTTTTTCCTTTTACTTTATCTACAGTAGTTTGTTCTCATAATTGTTGGGGTTTGTTGTTTTTTTTTTTGTTTTTCCTTCTGTCTTCTGAATCATTAGATTTCATGGCTTCTTTGGGGATCAGGTTCTTCAGCTACCCTAAAATAAATTCTTGACACACACTCTTGTAATCTATAGGAAACCCCAGGACAAAATGGTACAAGTTTAGCTATCAGATTACACTGTGATTGTTATGGATGCCCTGCTAACCTGAGTCCATTCTTAGCTACAAAGTCCTTTACCACTTACTGTTAAACAGTTGGTTTATTTCTGTTAAGTAGGGAAAAAAGAGCTTAATGGTTAGCCTGGTCCAGGAATTTTTGCTTGGGGAGTTTCTCTATCTGTTCTTAACTGACTACAAGTAGGTTAAGAAGGGAATGGGCAACTCCACAGTGAAAATGGTGTAGGACACACCATCTCCAGAAGAGTTTCTTTATTACATTCACAGATGACCCGTTGCTTTCTTCCACTACATCCAGGATTCTAAGATAGATAGAATTACAAGATCAGAGAGTATTTTACAACCAAAACCTCCCATTTAGAAATCAAGCAAAATTTCTTCTCCAGTCTTTGGCACTCCCTCTGAGGTAGGGAGCTCCCTCACCTTATTGCAAGATTTACATAATCTTTGTGAAAAGCAGGTGCCATCATACAGATTTGACTTCAATAGCCCATATTTTGCCAAATATATTGCTTTATCTTGGGTGGAAAATGTAATATTTACTGTAGTTAATTTCCCCTTGTTATTTATTTGAAAATTATGTGGTCAGGAATCTGAAACTTAGATGGGGTTTAAGTTATAGTCAACTTTTGTCTTTTGCCAGGAAGAATTTTTTGATATTTTTAGAAATATTTAGTATAAAGGGTGAAATTATTCGTTTCTGGAGGATATTCATTCCATAGACTGGACTCTTACTTGTGGCCATAGTAAACTCTCTGAAGATGCTTGATATTTTCATTGTTCTTTCACAAAAGAAAAAGTAATTGCCTGGATTTTGTTTATTTGGTTGTGGTTTTTTTTCTGCACATGTAATAATGAGAATATAACTAACCCTCAAATGAGAAAGGTACATATGCATGCAAAGGCATACATATGCATCACATATAAATTGCAGTGTGCTTTCAGCAGGGCTCATTTACTGTCCCAGGGTACAAATCTGTATTGCTCTTTAAGGAATATTCTTGTTTGGATAACAAGGCTTGAGTCTCTTACCAAACCAAATTCACTGTAAGATGTTGCCTAGGAACGGACCTGAAATCTTGACCTATGAAGCTCAGTTTGCCCATTTGAAGAACAGGCACACAATATTGTTAAGGCAGTAAAATATTAATCTTTAGCTTTCTTTCATTTTTAGCCAACCAGTCACCTTCTAAGAATTGTACACATGCTTACCTGTCCCCATTTCCTCTTCTCCGAGATGAACACAACTCCACCTCCTATGACTCTGCAATCAGTAAGTATTGTTTGGTGCAAATGAATACAATGCCCATAGTTTCAAGAAAACAATTTGGATGCTTCAAAATAAAACAGCCTTATTGCTCCACACAGTTTAATTAACAGAATTTTGGTATTTCATACTTCTCATAGTTTTACAACATGAATATTTAAGCCCCTGTTTAACAAAGCACATAAATAATGCTTAACTGAAAAAAAAAACCAAAACCAAAAAAACCAGAGATGTTTCCTGTTTAGTGTTTTTTTTCTCCAACATAGTAATTATCTTCCTTGGGCTGAACACATTAAACAAGTACTTATTGTCATGTATTTCAATAAAACTGGTTTTAGTTGGAATTTTTTATGATGTTTTCATTTGGTTTTTTTTTCTTTTTTTTGGGGGTTTTGTTTTTGTTAAATAAATAAACACGTATGGAAATCTACTGCATTTTTACTTTATGTGGAAGTAGGAGCAGAGCCTTGATGCTATCTGAGTTTAAGTGACTCAGATATACTTCACCGAGAAATTCTTGTACTGCAACAGAGATACATGTAAGTATATATTTATATACATGTGAAAGATAAACATTAATAGAAAATTTTATGTTTGAATAGTGCCTAGAAAGTCTTTACAACACTTAGGACAGAGATAAAAATACCAGGAACGTTTATTCATATTAAGAGCTTTGCACAAACAAATTTGAAGTAAATAACTTCTCATATCTATTTCACATGACTTTTTAAACAACCTGTGATGTGTGCATGCTACATGTATCTGAGCTTGCTGACTAAGGAACTTAGTGATCCCTTCCTGTCCTGAGGCTGTAATTATGCTTTTGCTAACCTTGAATTGTCTTTAGAATCCAATTTTTATGCTGCAGACATGAAAAAGAAAATAAACTAAAATTATAATGGTTCTGTTAATCTTTAGAAATTATGAACTGTTTGTCCAGGAAGAATTCAGACCTCACCATTCAGAGATCTAATCTGTAACTTCACAGCACATCTAGAACAGTTTATCTTTCCATTTGAAAGTGACAGAGTCATCAGCTCCTAATAGCCTAGACAGAGTTTGTATTCCACCATTCACTCATACATTCACAAAGGTTCCTCAAATTATATTGCATGATTACACAGAAGTGGACAAACAAAGAAAAAGAAAAGGAGAAGGAATATCATCAAAAGTTTAATTAATTTTAGTTAATGTTTGCCAAAAGAACCACTGCTCAAATATAATTTTCCTATCTATATTTCATATTAGGAGATTAAAAGTAGGCAGAACTGTACTATAGATGCTGGCCCAGGTAGAGTATATTCAGAGCCATTCCTGCTATATAAATAGATACAGTTGGATTGCTTTCGAGCTCATTAAAACTGAAGATGGTTTGGGGTTTTTTATGCCTACATTTCATTTTCAGCATCCAAGCTGAGTTATTTATTAGAACAGTTATGATTGCTCAAGAGTCTTTCACAACTTTTTATGAAGAAGGTTGTGTCATCATCTCTTCTGTTAGTTCAAAACTTGTTTCTCCTTTAGTCTAGTTTGACAATCATGCCCGTGATATTTGGCAAACAGGTTTTAAAAACCTTGCTTCATCTGGAGTTGCTAAATTAAGAAATGCTAGACGGTTATCCTCTTCTTCCTGACTCCCAGTGCAGGAAGTGGTTCTCTATAAACCAAAAGTGGCAAAAGTCTCCAGTTTGGTTCCCTGAAGAACAAGATTTCATTTATGATTTGTATATCCAGTTGTCTGCATCTAATACTTTGCATCAGCAAAAATTAGAATAAAAGGGCACTACCAAAAATTTGAGATTATTGTCCCCTTTTTTGGTTCTGCTATTCTTTCTTGATAAAATATAACCATTTTCATGGCTCATACCTTTCTTGACATGTTCTCTTTTTAGGATAATAAAAAGCCCAAATCTTCTACCCAGGTTTATCATAGTATTTTTAGTGAGTCAATCAAGTTCTATTTTAACAAAATATAGCAAGATAACAATAATTTTTCTGTCATCTTCATTTGCTCTTTCATAGAAAAAGAAACAGCTGAATAAAGAGCTTTAAACTTCATTAGAAAAATCAAACATGTATACAACACATTTTCTAAAAATCTCTAACTTTCTGTTCAGAGCACTATTAGTTGTTGAACAAGTAGAGGCATGTGACTTTTTTACAGATGATTTGGTTTAAGAGACTTTTGGATCTTAGAGGAATTTGAATTTAACTTTAGCTCCTTGTGCAGTCACTTGTGTGGAGACGCAAGTGTGGTTTGTTGGAGCGCCGTGTCACCATCCAGCTAAAAGAGCTCAGACAAAGATAAGTTGCCTGAGGAACATGAAATCTCTGATGCTTTTTGAGTGCAGTGTCTGGACCAAGTTCTCTGTTGACATAACTCCTTTGGCTTTAGTAGGAATGTGACTCAGAACTTTTCTGGGCCAGAAAAGCCAGAAAGTTTCACCTATCCTCTCTTAGTTTATTTACATCTTTTTGTATGTTGGGTTTGCTTTTGTGTTATAGTTCCCAAAAATCTTAAAGCACTGAGGATGGGGAACTCTAGTGTTTCAGTCTGCCTTACAAAGATTTAGACCAAAGGCTGGGTTCATTCTGGTATACAAACCTAGACTATGAACTCTTGGTGTCAAGGACTGCAGACTTAGATGTAAATGTAAAGGCAGAAAAGCTTATGGGGTGCTTATATTGAAGGTTTGAATGCATACTTTAATGTATCAGATCATTACTGTTAGATGCATGACCAGCTTCACAGGGCTAGATAGCACTGCTTTGAAATTGCAGTTGGCTATATCTTTTAATCATGGTTATAATGGTTCTGTGCATTCATTGGTTTTGTTAAATGGTCTTAACAGAGTGGGGAGGACTTCCCCTAGCTGTAGTGTAAGGTATCATCAAAAGCTGTGTGATCCATCATTTATGGTTAATGTATATTAAGAAATTCGTAGGCCATGTCATTTATCTTAACCTGAAACAGGTTCTAAATGAACTCAGGGGAAGCCTGATTCTAGTGACTTTCTGTGATGGCACAGAGGTTTAGAGTGACAACTTTTATAGTGTGCAGCTCTTAAGTTGACTTAGCACCTCATTGTGTTGCTAGCAGATTCATTTTATGATGATTCATTCTATGATGATTCATGTATATAAGTGCAGTAAACTACAACCTAGGAATAAAAAAATTAAATTAGACCAGGCAAGAGAAATACAACAGCAGTAACCTATATATTTTAAAATAGACATATTATTGCATAATCATAAACAGATTAGCTGCCCCATCAGGCTATTCTGAAAACATAATAGTATGGTATTTTTAATATTAATTCAATGCTAGCTAGATTCATGCATAATATCATGTCATTAGGTTACTTAACACTGATGTTTAAGGGCTATCACACTTTCCTAAAGTTCTTTTACTATAGGACAATACTAGGCCTGTTTTTGGAAAATGTGCAAAGTTCTTACTCATGGAAATAGTCCCATTGGCCATAGTGAGATTATTTGTGAGAAAAATAAGTGAAAAATCTAACACTTAGTCACTAATTCATTATTTTTATTTTTAAGGGGATTTTTTTCATCTTAATTTGGAAATATACAATAGTGCCCTAACTGTTGTAAATCACCCCAACACCTTTTGAAGCTGAAGTGGAAGCATTTTAGTGGGGCAGCACTGGCATATTAGTTTAATACTCTGATTTGTAGCTGCCAGTATTTTTTTTCCTGACTATTGGTATCTTATTTTGTCCAGTACTGGGCACATTGCCAGCATTTTAAGTAATGCCTAATGGATAATACACAATGTTTATAGAACTGAAGCAAAAATCTGATTTAGCAACCATTTAATCTAAATGGTGAAATCAAATTTATTTGCAGGTTTGTTAATGGGTTGAAATTAACCTAAAGTATTCTGGAAAATATCAGCCATGAAATCTGAAAATAGAAGTTGTACCAGTGAAATGTTAGCAGTAGTCTATTTCTAGGGGAAAAAATGCTCTTATGTAATAGTCATATAATTGCCCATGAGAGATTGTAGTACAGTACATTTATAAGTGTGATCTCTGTAGCCCCCCAAGCAGCTATAAAGTAAGAAGCATTTTAAAAAAGCAGTGTATCCATTTTGTGAATATTTGTATTTGTGAATATTGTATTTGTATTAGTGTTAACGCTACTTTTGAAAAAAAAATATTACTAAGGGATAGTAAAGGGTGCTGAATGAAGCTGAGAAAAGTCTTGCAAGGTTTACTGTGTTGCCAGGTGTGTCTCCTGTACTGCTGCTGAGATAGGTGATTTCATTTACAGCTGTTTATCTATGGAGAAGATACTCTTGGTTGAGAGCAGTTCAGGCACTTTGCCTTTCACTTTTGGCACTGTGTGTGGCAAAACTCTAGTCAAAAGCATTTCAATATTTCTTACATTAAATAGAGAGGTAAAAAACTGCACAGTCTAAAATACAATCCACTCAGATCACAGGAAATGGTCCCTTTTGGATGTGAGCTTGTCCATGATAGTTCAAGGAAACTTTTCTAAGACCTTTTACCTACCCCTGGAAATTTTTATGTGGCATTGTACTAACACATGTTTCAAAAGGCTTTTCATCCTTATAATGCTTAACAATTCATGTTGATATTAAATTTAAGATTAAGTAGCCTGGGTTTTTATGGTAGACCACAGTACTTGTATGGTCTGATGGCTGTGTTTTGAAAACACTTTGAGTCAGCAAGGCCAGTGAAATCCTTGATATGCTTTCATGATGCTGATGTTAACATCTCTAACAGTAGAAGGGTGTTGCTTTGTGACATTAGCTAGGCTGTTCCTGTGTAACTATTATGGAGCTCCAGAGGTGTCCATGACTGCTTCGTAAGTGTGAGTGTAGCTAATACAGCTCTGTAACTTTTCAAATTAATTATTGCTTCTCTTTCAAATCATGCATCAGTAACATCTTAAAATACGAATCTGGAACTTTGTGATCAATGCTGGGATCTACTACACTAGAAAAGAAGGCTTGTGGTAATTTCCTCCCTTTCTCCAAAATTTGGGACTCCACAAACCCAGATACTTCTAGTTTTCAAATAATGTGAAAATCTCTGGAGGGACCTAAATTAGGATCTTTAGTGAGAAAAACAAGTAGTAAGGGAAAACTACAGGTCATGCAATTTTGGAGGAATATAATGTTCCTATGCAGGCCCAATGATGCAGTTGTGTGTACTCCTGTTTTCCACTAAGTCTTTTTTATTTTTAGGCCTGCCTGTCATTTCCTAGGCAAATGTTGTACTCAAAAAAGGGCTGCCTTACCAAGATGAGTTACAAAACCTTCTGTTTAGTACTCTTGCAACACAGAGAAAGATTTTAAGCACTGCAGATATGTTTACTTTGCACTCTGCAGTAGTGCTTGTACTTTATTTCTTCTGTTGTAGGAAACACAGAATAATGCATGTATTTGAGGTGGGTAACTCTAACACATCTGTGAAGTATCTGGAAGAGGCGAGGGTACTCCTTGTCATCTCGACCAGAACGTGGGCTATCCTATGAAATACCTCAGTGAGACTTGAAATTGTGCAAACTTCTGTTAACACTTCTGTATGGATACGCTTTGTATGGGTTCACCAAACCATTATTTCTTGAAACAGACTGTTTGGATCACAGTGTCAGCCCTTTTCATGGGATGTAAAGAGGAGTAATTCAAAGCAGCATCCTCTGTTGCATTTTATCTATTATTGTGTGTCTCAACCTCAGAGCAGCAAAGTCTTTGACTTGAAGAGTAATTTCATTCTTAGGAAGATTTAATTTCAACCTGCTCTTTTGTGTTTATCTAAAGATGACAGCTAAGTTAAATTACAGCAGTAGGCCTGAGCTGTTATTTTGAATGACTAGCCCTTTAGAAATTGATCTTGCCCATCTAGGCAGAGATTATGGGAAATGTGATCTAAGCAAAAATGATCAGATCATAAAATAAGTGAGCCATCTTTGCAGGAAAATGATGGCTTTTTAATTCCCTTGCAAAAGTGAAAGTCTAAGTGCTTGTAGGGTGTTTCCTCAGACCTGTGCCACAAATGAACCAAATGACTTTCTGCCTTGCAGATTAGAGGGGGTAATATTTTACTTGAAAAGTCACAGATTTGTGAGCAGACTTTGTACCTGTCAACTACACTCCATTTTTTAATTGATGTTTAATGACTGAATTAGCTTAATAAGCAAGTATTAGGATAATCATACTTTATCTGTGATTCTTTAGAGTAAATAACTGTTTTGGAGAAATAGAATGGAAGCTTCTGTCAGGGGATAGCGAGGTGAAATCAGTATTTCCCACACAATGCATTAAATAGTTACAGTGTTGGAGCAGAGAAATAGCTTTTCTCTTGTATAGTTACAGAAAGGTTGAAACAAATTTTCATCAGTTACATTTGTACTTCTTTTGTGCTCTGTTTCAAAGAATATTTGAGCATCAAATCAAGCTTTTCTCATGAAATCTCACTAAAAACAGACTTGGAAGCTTCCTGTATGATGAGTGAATAATGAAAATGGATGTTGGTTTTGTAATGCTGGAGAATCTCGTGTCCTCCTCCATTGAGAAAATAGAAACACTGCTCCATGACTTAGGTGACTGACCATAATAATATACAAGAAAGCTTTTTCAAGCTTCATTTTGGCCAATGTGTCCTATTATGTAGTATGACTTTGAAGTACCTTGGGCCACCCATGTAAAAGAGTTGGGTGGTTATAGATTGATTTAGTGGTATTAGGCTTTAAACGAGGAAGTAATGTCCCATGGACTTGGAGACTGCAATGAAGCTTATCAAAGTAGCCCCATGAGTAAAATAATATGAAATTGCTTCAGAAACCCAAGACTGAAGGACTTGAGAGATTTACCTTTCTAGGTCTCCATTCGCTGTCCATTTGCATTAAGTGAATCATTTAACTATGTGTTTAACTTTAAACAGGTGCCTAAATCCCATAAGAGGTATAGTACTTAAAGCAACACACACATTTAACAGCTTTGCTGAGCCATAGCCTTATTTCTTACCTACTACTCCAATAATTTTTTGTTTATGTGAAGTGGAGACTTGGATATGAACCAAACCACAATCTTAACCCTTCTGCCAGGTATTTTCAGACACATTCATCCTTTTTATGCCCAAATCTGCTGATCAGTGTGGCGGAAAATTATGTCTCTGAATGTTTGCCTGGATTAAAAAGGGTGTTATTTAAAAAGTGTGGCTAATGTAATGTGGAGAGCGTGGTCTAGCTAATACATTTACAAGGCTGATGATGTATTCTTTAACTTGTGTTAAGCTGGTCAAGTTAAAAACCATAGACTTTTGGAATACATTAGTGGGAAACACGAGCTGCTAATGCCTAGTGAGCCTTCAGATTTCAGATGAGAGCAAACCTGAATTATTACTGAATAGCTGTCTCTAACAAGCTGTATGAATTTGAGTCTTCCAGGGTATGAACCAGTATAATAGTTGCTTGGTTGTGTTTTTCCATAACAGTAAGTAGGTGCTGTCAGATGATAAGTGGCAGTTTCTTTTGTGATACACTTTTCCTGACTTGCCAGCTGGCTTATATGCTTTCCCTCAGTTGGGTGGAAATGTTTTTCACTGACTGAATTGTCAGTGCTTCAAGATTTTCAGATCTGACGATGGAGATCTTTACAACTCATAATTTTACTAATGGGTTGTGTTAATGTACCAATTTTTAAATTCATGGGAGAAATTTATGTCACTCTTGTAGCATTTGTAAAATGATGACTTTGTTAAATGGATGTGCAATTAACCAGCTAAAAACTAATTGTTAGAAAGACTCTTTTGGCCAGAGTATGTCACAAAACTCTCAGCTCATTTATCACCAGCTGCATCCATTAATTCAGCACTGCTTGGCACTGCCTAACGGGCTTCTGAAACATCACATTTTAAATTTAATAAAATACAAAGAGCTTTAGAGCAGAAATAGGCTGGTTTAAGACACTTAGCTGTTTTTCAGAAATACAGTTTACATTTTTTTTAGTTTCTCCCTGTTCTTAGCTTAAGCTTCTCCTGCTGAATATGGCTATACATAAGGAGCATTATCCAGCCGTAAATTGTAATGAACTTACAGATTGTTATTGGTGATACAGTCTCAGCACTAGGAGTGTCAAGATGTTGCAGCTCTCTGCTTCTTCCACACAATTTTGGTAAAATAATTGAATCCTGTCAATCTAATCATTTATCCCAAGGAATCACTGCTATAGTTTTGCTGTACCATTTTCTAAAGAGTGTCAGTTTGGTCAGGTTGCTATCTTACAAGGTATTGCTAAATATTCAGCAGATGGATTTCATTCACAATAACTTACATTCTGTTTTCCATGATCATTAGGTAAGGGCTGGTAATCAAACCTATTTTGATCCACGTGATATATAATGTATATGCAAAATAAAATTAGTGTTTCATTTGTTAATAAGGCAAGTGATAAGAGAAGGGGAAAGAAAAATATTTGTTACCCACTTGGATAAGTTCTAAAAAGCATTGTATTCTTTTTCTTTTGTCTTCCTGTTCTCTAGTTTATCGAGGTTTCTGGACAGTTCTCATGCTCCTGGGAGTACTCACTGTTGTGGTGGCTAGTTTCCTCATCATCTGTGCAGCTCCTTTTGCCAGTCACATTTTATACAAAGCAGGAGGAGGCTTTTTCATCATTGCTGGTGGGTATACTGTTTGCTCAGTCAATTATAGAGTAGAAAGGATGAGTTGTTTCTTCCATTTTCCTTAACCAAAAATTGTATCAATCCTGGTTAAAAGAAAGAGAAAGCATATGCTTCTAATCCTTTGGCTTGTGGATGCTTGCCTTGGACACAGGTTCTTTGCACAGTTATTTAGTCATGAAGCTATTATAAAAGCTATTTTTGGGTTAAGGTTAAAAAAACCTTATATTAAGCTTTGGGTTAAGGTTAAAAAAACCCCACATCCAGGACAAATAATGAAATTACACTGCAATTTCAATCTACTTTTTTTAACAGGAAAAAGAATGCATATTTAAGGATGTTGCCTTATAGGATTCTCAAGGGCTTTAGCTAAGGAGAGGGTTTAGTCCTTTATCAGTGATGCAAAAGATGATTACAGTGGATTCTGAAGAAGTTGGGAGACAGAACACATATACATGACCAATACAGGAAAATGCTTTGAATGTGATGGGGCTAAACAAAGTAGTTGTCATGTATGAGTAAGTAGGAGCTCTAAACCTCTGCGAATGAAAGATAACAAATAACTGAATTCCCTCCTTCCTCATGACCCGCACATGCAGTGGAGGATGCACCCTCCCAGGACTCAGCTGATGTGGACAGCTCATTGGCATGCTGTTTGCTTAACCTTGAAAAGTCTGTGAATGTGTCACACTGGTGTGTAAGATATAGTTATATAGGATGTAAATGATAGTATGTGCTCCATCTCTGTTCTCCTTGGTTTAAAGCCTGATGAGAGGCAGCCCTGTGAGAACATATTGTGTTACAGGGCAGAGCCACCTGTGTCAGGACCACAGGGCCTGGGCTCTCTTTTTGCTTCTCCTACTGACCCCCTGACCTTGCTTACCCACTGCACCTCTAAGCTCTTCATATGCAGCTAGTGATCATTATTCCCTTCCAAAGGACTCTCAGTGAAGTGTGGGAAGTATTTTATAATATTTTAGTTGAAGAAAATCCTGCATACTTACATTTCATCTCTTGAGAATTGCTCCTTCACACTTTTAAAAGACATACAAAAAATATTCATAGGCTGACGGAGATTCTAAGATATTTCAATGCTTTTTGTCACTAATTTGCAGGGCAAGAGCCCATGTGAGTCTTGCTCTTTTTCTGCATTTGTAATGCATGAAAAACCTCAGCTGTCACTAGAAAGTAGCAGAAGCTGTTTGAGAGGAAAAAGGCACTTGAAAGATGTGGAACTGACTGGCAGAGGTGCAAAGCGACGCTTGTGTTCTCCACTCTGGGTCAGTTCATTGCCCTCATTTAGGTAGGGGAAAGTTAGATCCCCAAGCCTGTGCTAGCCTCCCTTGGCTTCCCTACGAGGCCTGCAAGAGGCAATAACATTCAATGGCAGTAAAAACGGTAGGCATGTAAGAAGTTCCCCCAGCTGGGGATTCATTTCACACTGAAAGAGGGGCCTAATTGGATCAGATGAATGTGCTATTGAGGAACCCTACACCTCTCTTCCCTTTACTAAGAGAATCTAGAGAGACTATTTCTTTAGGTATGTGAAGTTAAGTGAGCTTTATTATCCCAGTGTGTGACCTTGGGTCTGTGTCTGTGCCCCTTTTACCCTTTGTCCCTATAGAGCAAATGTTCTTCAAGGGAAATCCTGATTTTTTTACTCTCTCTGTATGCAGCATGTTTCAACTTCAGGACTGTTCTCAATCAGGGCTTTAGAAAAAAGCTATGTTATTTTTACTATTACCATTACTGTTGTTGAAAAGCAAAGGTCTGTAGCAAAATCCTGCTATAATTTGTCAAAAAAGTGGTGGTGGCAGGAGAAAATAGGACCCATTCAGTTTGCTCAAGACAGAGAAAGATAAGACAGAATCTGATGCAGAAGAGGATGATGTGCTCTACTGTCTCCCTGCTGCCCTGATCCCTTCCTGTGCCTATCTCCTTCAGGATTAGAGAGTTCATTTAACTGCCTGCCAAATCAAAGCAGGGCATGGAAGGGGAGAGTGATGAGAAGTGGGGCATATTTATCACTTCTCAAACATGTGATCAGGATGCAGCCAGGGTCTGCATCTACTTAAACACAGACCTAATGGGAAAATGAAAAGATGTAATGTGACTTAGATTAATGTGACTTAGATTTGGTGAAGTTAAGAGTTCTTCTAAGACAGAAACCAGCAAGTTGTTTTGAAGAAAAAAAAAAGGAATTATGCACATTGTTTTGAAAGAGCCTGGATGATGTCTTACCACAAAATTCAAGTATGTGTTATACTGTAAAGAATAGTCTTCCGAGAAGGAAGTTAGACTAGATGATTGTTCTTTGGAAGTTAGGAAGAAGTTCTTCTTTTTAAGAAGAGGAAAATGTCATTTTCCTACTTGTCTTAAAAATAAGTTAGATGAAATATGTTATTGGATGTATCTTTATCCTTCTGCAACCTTAACTTATAAATTAGGAGCAGATAAAAGCTCTCCCTCAACTGAAGAGTGCAGCTTGTAGCATGATCTGTTGTGACCTCTAAGGGTTCAGGAAGTACCTGAAGATATTATTGGGAATGAGATTCTTGCCAACTGTTCAGCCATCTGAAAGCTGTTTTATATGAACCAACTGCTTAAATTTCTGTTGTCAACAGTAAGAAACACTCACATGGACACCTCACCTTCTCTGTGCTAAGGCAGATAGATTTGCCTTTTGGAGGGACCCATTCAAGAAGCCTAAACAGAGATCCTGAGTGACACAAATTTACGTTGAAAAGGACCTCTTGTGGCAATCAAGTCTGACATCCCATTTAGAGCAGGGTTGTCTTCAAAGTTAGATCAGACAGCTCAGAGCCTTATCCAATCAAGTTTTTAAAATCTCCAGTGATGTTCCACAGCATCTTTGGGTGCTTGTCCCAGTTTGACCAACTTCATTGTGAGAAATGTTTTCTTCTTTCCTTGTTTTCACCTGGTATTGCCCTTGATGCAGTTTGTGACTATTACATCTCATCCTCTCAAGTCTGTAGGTCTCTGAAAATCTATCCCCATCTTTTCTATAACTCCATTTAGAAAAATGAAGACTGGATTCTTCTCTAGACTAAAATTCCCCAGCTCATTCAGCCTCTACTTGTTCTCCAACCATTTTGGTGGTCATCACCTCAGTTTTTCAGTACCTCTGTTTCACATGGGGACTCCAAACTGGACATAGCTTACCACATATGATATCACAAGTGTTGAATAAAGGGTGATAATATTTTCAAATCTAATGATGGTGTTCTTGCTAATGCAGCTCTGTATGAGGTTAATTTTCATTTTTGCAAGACCTGCTTGAATTGCTGTGCACATAAAGGGACCATTCTTGTACTTTAAGGAAATTGTCTATGAGCAACACCAGATTCTTCTGGGCCCTCTGACCTTTAAGGTAGCCTTTGCCCTTCAAGGCAGCCTCTCTTGGGATCTTGCCTACCAGTTCTCTGCAGAGATTGCAGTGTGTTCTCCTAGGTTCTGGGTCTTACCTTTCATATTCATCCTAGGATATTAACTTTTGCCATTCTGTGGCCATCATAACTACAATTAACACCATCTATCATTTTCCTGACCCATTTTTCCTTAATTGGGAGTAGCAAAACTTTGTAACTGTATTAACCACCTGAGTCCACAGGTAAAACTACACCTGCAAGACCTGTGGGGAAAAGTGAGTATCAGTTCAATGATACCACAGTCAGCGATTCGGGTTCTGCCTTTGCAGCCTCATCTCTGTGTCTGTAACATCAGAGGATGGTCCAGGAGCAGCTATGGTACTGAAAACTTTGAGAAGCCTTATAGTTGCTTCAAAGGTCATAGGAAAAGAAGGGAAATCTGTCATAAAATGATCTCTTAGAGCAGACTTCAATAAAGTCCATAATTACCTTCTGCCTCTTTCTGCCTGCTGGTAGTGAAAACTGTCCTCTTGTACTGATGCCAATAAGCAATATACCAGGATGTGCACAGAGCATTACAGAATCACACCCTGGTGAAGAAACAAGATTAGAAGTATGACTGCTGCTTCCTGCCAAAAGAGCGAATCAAGATGGTACTTTAGTTTGAGATCCTAGATGACGACAAAAATCTGTTTTCAGAGACATGTACCTACTTCCATAACTTTTGCATGGGATTCTCTGCAAGTATTTCAGCAGAGAATGCCAACCACTATTTTTAAATAAAGGTCACAGTAGGCCAAGGTAGGTGGTAGAATCTGAAATAAGGACAAGAACAGAAAAATGCATTTAATAAAAAAAATTACACACACACACAGAAGTTTTCCTCAAGTGAGATAAAGAGTTCTAAACTTCCAGGCATAAGTAAAAAGCTCACATCATTCTTTTCAGCACCTGTTGTCTTCATGTCTGCATAGTAAAAGATTCATGCCATAAACAGCCATTCACCATTGACAAGTGAAAGGCATTTCTACGTGGGAAGAATCAGTACTAAAGGCCAGCAAACTGCTTCTTGAATTCACAGACATTTCTAAAGGTTCTGTATTCTTTCTCCTCTACAATATGCACAAGTATTTGTTTGAAAGAAATTCAAAAGAATGAATGTGAAAGACAGAAAAGAGTGACCTCAGAGAAGTCCATGTCTTATCACACTGCACAGTGCTGTGTTTCAAACGTGTGTTTATAAAAAAAAAAGGAAAATGGAAAAAAAGAAAGAAAAAGGAGTAGGAGGGAAGTATTTATTTGTCTTAATCTCTCTCAGACATATTTCATGTTTTAGGAATAATTTCCCTCATCATTACTGATTCATGCAACTGCTATTTTTTATTCACTAAAAGGCAAAGGCAAAAGGATGCCTGCACTCTATGAAAAAGGTCTAAATGCCAAAAATGTAGAGATATATCACAGCACACATTGTTCTGAAAAATATTTGCTTCAAGAAATTGTGGATTTTGGTTTTTTTTCAATCTCAGTAATTTTGTCTTGGAGCTTGCCTTTGAGAGTTCACAACATTCACAATAGATTTGTCAGTGCAAGAGTGCAGGAGCAGATTTCTCAGGATAAATATACATTCAGTGAACTTCTAAGAGCTTAACTCCCGTGAAGTCATAACTCTGTGAAAATTAGACAAAAGGAGTGCTAATGAATGAAATACTGATGGTGGCAACAGGACATGGTCAGTTCTTACTTAGCCTAATCCTATTGTTCAAGATATTTATTGAACATGCTAAGTAATACACCTATTAATTAGTCTCCATTAGCAGGTGATGAGACCGCTTAAATACTCCTTTAGTGCCTTAATTAACTAAGAGGGTTTGCATACTCTTCCTTTCTTTTTCTTCCCTTTTAAGAAAGGACATTTATCTCTGCTTGACATACATTTCTTCTGAAAATTTCCATACCCAACAATTTGCCACTCACAGGTGTAACAGCTTGCTGTGAAATCACACCCGATGGATGATAGATTCCCTGAAGTTGTTTTACCACTGGCAGCCCTGGCTTGCTATTTTGCACCTACATGGTGTTGATTCTAGTTTAACCACCTAGGTGTTGCTTCAGAGTGTCTGAAGAGCAAGGGGTGCCCATTTCTAGATTAAAGCACCTTTGATGCAGTTTTGTTTTAATGATGGATGTTTTTGACTAACTGTTCTACATAACTCTGCTCTACCCAGGATGCCAGAGGGCTTTCCAGATGTGCAAGGCCTGGTTATACTTACCTGCTGCTATAGTAACAGAATATGCATCACTACTTTTGGAATTATTATTGATTTGGACTAAGTTTTCCCCTATGCAGAGATTAAATAGAGAACTAGTTTGAAAATGCATAGGCACAGTCAGTTGAAGAGGTAAATTCAAATGTCCTTGTGGATTTTGCCAGATTATTAATGTATCTTTCCAAATCTTAGTGCTATAATTTTTTGTTCAAATTTTGAAACCTTGAACAAAATCCAGATATCTAATAACTCCATTTATGAATTTTTCCCAGAATCTTTCTACTTTTTTAATCAAAAGTTACTAGCTCTGTTTTGTTCTAATTTTCCTGTGTTGCCCACATTACCTGTTATCATTAGATGTTCTGTTATAGGAATCTTCTGCTCAATTTGAATTATATTTGCAGAGTTTTCAATTTAATTTCTTATTCTTCTTGTCTGGCCCTAAGGCGATCCTTCTCTCTGATTGTTTCAGTGGTTTTATGTTTAATACAAGCACAGTACTAAATTCCATCAAAATTGAGTTTTACTTAGGTAAAATACTTTCGAAATTGAATTTATGCCTCTTAGAGTTGAGTGTTGGGTTTTTCCAAACTTTGTTAGGAATTTGAACCTTAGCAAAAAAAATGTAATCCTGGAAGTGTATTTCATAGACATGAAATGTGTCTGCCTCCTTCTTTATTTAGTTTTTCTACTACTATTTCAGCCTCTTAGAAACTGCAGATCCTTTGGGAATGTTTTGATTATGCCTCAGCCCTTTTTTGTTGGTCTTCAAAAGATAATGTTTTTAAGGATTGAGCCATGAGCTCTCACCTGTCAGAAATTCAGGATGCATGTAAAGATATTATATTTTTTCCATAAAGCAATAGCAGGAATATCACCAGATTACCAGGTTAAGCTGCTCCACCTAACCTATCTGGTTTTGTCTGCATCAAATGAGGGAGTGAGACAAGAGCTGCTCCCTGGTAAATGGGCAGAAAGGGTGGGAAAGGAGGTTCTGAGGCAGCATCTCAGGTTGGGGATGGGGAAAGGTAACCATCAAAGGTTACCAGGACATGTGGATATGGAAGAAAATCCCTGGCCATGGGTGTTTCCAAAGTGCACTTGTGGGTTTTGCCGCAAATATCACATTTGTTCAAGGTTGCATTGCAAGTATTTAGCAGGATGGAGAAGAGACCACAAATACCTTTGACTTACAGCTGGTAACCTCAAGTTTGGCAGTAAGTGTTCCCAGGACTGTGCACTGAGTTGTGTTTTAATGAGGCACCTAAACATTCTGGGATAAAAATGTGATGGGGTGGTGCCCCTCAAGTATTTGATTGCTGGAATAGATGGTCCTGCTGCTGCAACTTTGCTGTGACAGCTGGAGCTCAGGGAGCAAATGGGTACAGGCTGAAGCATGCAAAAAATTTAGGCTCGTGCCCTCAGTCCTCCAGCAGATCTTCTTCTGGAGCATCTGTTCTGCAGGCTTGCATTTCTCAAGTGTCCACATTCCTCTAAAGTGAAATGAAATATTAGGAATGCAACTGATACTCTGGAAAGCACTTTCTTCTTATATCTCCTTCTGGTGTATAGTAACAAGGAGATTATCGAAGTTTGTAAGGACATGTGCTCCTATTACTATCATGTATAAACAATTCAAAGGCCTTTCAGAGGAGTGGTTTGGAAAAGGCTGTGAATTATGTGGTGGATTAATTTCAGGAAACTGTTGTATCCAATTTGAGGTTATTCCTAATAGCCTGCTTCATAGTTATTATTTAATTATTGTTGGGTTTTTTTCTTCTACCAAGAGCTTCTTTTATAAAGGTGGATGATTTTGAATTAAATGCATTTGAATTTTTATGCAAAATATTTGAGTAGAATACTCTGAAATTTTGTGTTCCAAACACAGCCCTTTTCAGAAGAATAAAGAAGCAAATGCAGAGAGGTGAAGATAATAGAAAGATTTCCCACTCCTTTCTATATCTCATCCATAAAACCGATAAAAACAATGTGAGAGTTTGGGAATCAAAAGTACATTTTTTTCCCAGATTGTCCCACTCCCTTCCCCCTCCTTCCCCCACCTTGACCCCTGAATTCAAAACAGTAAATACCTGCATGAATTTTGTCACCAAGGTCTGCCTACCAGAACCAGATATCACCATGTCATGGGAGCGTGCCTTTCAGTGCAGATCAGGAGCAAGATGGGGGTAGTGCTAGTTAGAGGAAGCCAAAGGCAAAAATTATCCAGTGGTGGCTGACAGTGCCATGCAGACAGGACCTCAGGCATTGGTGGCTTTTTAGGTAACACAGTAAATGCATCCAGCATCTGTCTCACACTCTGTTGTTAAAACCTGGTGTTTCTTTTCCAGGTGTCTTGTTTTCGCTGGTAGTCGTGATGTATGTCATCTGGGTCCAGGCCATGGCTGATCTGGAAAACTACACAAACATGAAAAAGATGGATTGCCCAGACTTTGCTGTTTATGTACGTTATGGCTGGTCGTTTATGCTGGCTCCTATAGGAGTATTTTTTGCTTTATTAGCAGGAATGCTGTTCTTGTTGGTAGGGCGTTACATTTATTTACACTCAGACTAGTCAGACGCTGCTGAAGGGAATACAGCAATACTTGTGAAACTTTGTGACAAGTGAAAACTGGAACAAAATTTTGTACATTATTACCATTATGGCAATCTTAAATGTGCAGGCAGACTTCTGGAAGTTCTTCTATTACTTGTTTAAGGGTAAGGGACACAAAACTCAGTACAGGAAGAAACAACCTTTAGTTCCAACTAGTTGTTTTTAATTATTTAGAAAGTACACATGTGGTTCTTCACATTGTACTATTAGCAGAATTTTTGTAGGTTAATAAACAGAAGAAGACAAAATTTTTATGCAAGTAAAACATGAACATGAATTGCCTCAAATCAACATTTTATACATTTATCTTTTAGCATTTATACTGTTCTTCTGTTTATAGAGAATGGCATAAGGTAGAGGAGAAGGCAAACATTCAAACACAGTAATTCAATCTACCTCCTCTCCTGTTTTCCACTACTTGCCTTAGCTTTAATAGCAGCAAACATGTCTGCACTTTATAAAAATAGAGTGCAGTTGTTCATGCAGCATCCATAGGAAGAGGACAAGAGAGAAGACAATTGCCATGAATGTGTAAAAGATTAACTGTTCTATTACCCATTTCTCTTTTCTGTATGCATTTGAAAGCTGTATACTTCTGTATTCTGAAATCCATGTGTTGCATGATCCTGTAAGCCAGAATGCCTTCACTATCTGAAGTTATGCCAAAATTGTATTTTGAATTATAGCATTAATATTTTAATTAAGCTTTAACCCTTTTATTTTTCAGTGGAACAACTGGCTCCTCTAAAAAATATTTTCATGGTTGTGTAAAATTAATTTTTTATTAAAAAGGTTTATTATCAAGACAATATTTAGGACATGAAAATGTGTGTCTTGTGCAGCCTTCATTGTCCCACATGTTAAAAATCTGCATTATAGACCAAATCCAACTTGCCTACTAGGCTTGCTAGGGAAAGCAATGAGCCTGGCTAAGACAGCCAGGGAGATGGATTTGGTACTGCATTGTAGGAGTGGCTGGTTCTGTGTGTGTGTGTGCATGCACATCTGTGTGGAAGATGGGGTAAGGATGAGACTGCATGCATGGTATGGAAAAGATGGGGTTGAGTTTTAACAATGGGGAAACTTTGTCTGGCATTGGGCCCAAATAGAAATTAAATCCATCTGAGAGTATGCTGGTTTTCACTTTGTAACTCGATGCAGAATAGTTTGGGGCTGATGGGGAAAAGTAAAGGCTTCATGTCGGTTTGTTCTTGTTCATAATGCTTAATTCCACAGCTGTTATGAATACTGAAAGCATTGCTAAAAGGCAGGAAAGGAATGCCCACAGAGAAGATGTGGTGAGCCAGATTGGATGTTATTCCATTTTGGGAGGTTTTGTGATTGGAAGCTTTCCAGGTTTTCCTGCTACTTATTTATTTTTCCCTCATCAAGATTGGTGTTATACATTATAGAACAGGAAGACAACAAGAGTAGGAGGTAGGGAAGCTGGGACTGTGAGGTTTAGAATAATTACCAATTCATAAAAATATTTTTATTGGCAAATAACATGGTGTTTTTAATTATTGTGCCAGAGAGTATGATGGGTGAATTTTAACCAAGTATTCATTTATATATATATATATATATATATATATATATATATATATATATACATATACATGAACCCCACGTAAATGATAGCCATCCGGAGAACATTAGGGTTACACCATAATGCAGTTGGTTAGTCAGGAAATGCTGAAATTAACCCTGCTCGTTGTGCATATGGTATTATATTCCTGCCCTTAATTACACAATCACATACTGTTTCTCAAATAATACATTCTGTTGGTTTCTGCCCTCTTTATAGTCTAGGACACTCACTGGTAATTGTGAAGGTAAACTCAAGAATTATTGGCTAGGTACCCCATCCCAAGCCCTGTCTGCTTCTCTGCAGGGGAGAGTCCTTCTCCACAAGAGCTTAAGGGGGCAATATGCTTGAGCCACTTTCTTGCAGCTTTTGGAAGCTGGAGGAATTGAGAGGTGCCTCAGAGCTGGACCTCTTCCAGCAAACCCAACCATGTGTGCAGCAGCAACTAATAAACTCTGCAAGGATTGAGCCAAAGGCTCCCGTGGTGCCCTTAATTCAGCCCATGTGCATCTTCAGAACTCTCTCCATTATGCTGCTAAATTAGTTACACTTTTGTGTGTAAGACATCCTCTCTTGGAGGCAACCCTTTGGGTCAGACTGTGGATGTAATGGCTGTCAAGATCTAATGTGTTTCTGAGGATTCCCTTGGAAATGTCTGGAAAGCCTTTCCAACACCAGCAGAAATTTCTTGAGTCCTCATAAATTTTTCACTCAAACTCTTACGTTGGCAGCAGTCTGTAGCTCTATCAATTTGCTTTAATTGGATTCCCTCTTAGTGGCAGAAATGAAGGTCAGTCTCCTTCTGAAATGGTGGGGTTTGTTTGCTCCCTCCAAAAAACGTATGTAGGTAAGCACATGACATGTAAGAAGTAGTTGCTGCAGACCAAGGAATGGTGTTAAGGGTGGAGGGGAGGCATTTCTGGATGATTATTGCCTAAAAGCACAGTTTAACTCCTGTTCTTCTGATTTCATTAAAGAGCTATGTGCAGGGGAATGGGTTTGTAAGAACTTGGGGAAGACAGGCCAGCTAAGGAGACTTGCTTTGTGGCATTCTTCCAGATATGCTTTTGTCTAGAAAATCCTTGGCAGGGATGCAGGGATTTTCATGAGAACAGAATAAAATATTGTAAAGAGGATTAAATACGCTAATCAAAATATTCTGTGAAATTGGTCAAAGAACTGTGCTCCTCGCAAATCCATAGGAGTTTGGGAGTTTGGTTGTTTTTTTTTTCCTTAATAATTTCCTAGCTGGCTTAATAGCCTGTGATCATATTGGAAGAAAAGAGATTTATTTTTTAAGAAATGTGTTTGGAAGAGTGAGGAAGAAGAGTAAATAAGAAGCATTTTCTGATTACTTTCAATCTGTAAATCATCCATTTGCCCAGTGCAAGCATGGGAAGGACTATGACTGCCCGCAAAGGAGGCAGTGTGAAAATAAGGAGAAGGAGGTGAGAAAGGAGGGAGAAAAAGACAGGTGAGTGTCCCTCTGTTGATGCCATCTGCCAGACCTCTGTACAGCTGTTGTTGATCCCTGGGGGATGCATCAACACAATGTGGCAAAGGCAGCTGCAGACAAGACCAGTCAGAAAAGGATTTTCCCCATTTATTCTTTTAACTCATTTCGATAGCTGCTGTAGGTTTCACTGGAGCTGACCTTCATGAAATTTGTGGCTGTTTATTGGCATTTACATTAATGAGATAAAACAGTGTTCTTCTCTGAGGAAATGCAAAAAAAGGCCTGCTTTTTTTCTCCTCAAGGTGCCTACCTGCTGCTGCTGAGACTGTACTCTGCAGTGTGCTAGTAAACTGCTAGTAAAACAGTTGTAGGTAATGTCTATAGCTGTCTTCATTCCTGCAAAATCCTTGTTGCAAAGTATGTTGTGCTTATTATCTTTTACAAAGTCATATTGAACATCTTAAATGAGCTATTTACCTTCTGATGCAGCAGCTGGCTCTCCTCTGGCTCTTCTGTTCTTATTTGTCCTTTTGGCAGTGTGATTCCCAGGCAGTGAAGGCTAGATAAAGTATGTTCACATGAAATTCTGCTGTTAACTTACAGTAAGTCTGAACTGATGCAGCTGAAGTTGGGGGAGACACTGAAATTGAAAACAGAAGTCAGTCATCTATAATCAAAAGTGACAGAAGGGATGAAGAATCGCAAGTTCTTACAGCACCACTTTTCCCTCTGTGTCTCTCACTCACATTACCAGTTTAAGACCAAAACTGGTCTGTCTTTCCAGTCCTTACATGCCTTATCTACTCAGGAGACATATTTACAATAGTGGTCAGGAGAGCCATTTGACTTGAAGGTAAGAAGGAATGGAGGGATGGCAGCAACTCCTGATTAGTCATCTCTAAACTGCACCTGATTTTCTCCTGCATCCCAAAGAGCCCAGAAGGGCCCCATGGAGTGCTGCAAGGCTCAACATTTTGCTGTGAGGATAAGGAAAGGGCTTGGAGTACAAATCACCCCATGTTACTTGCTGTGGATCTGTTCCTTATCTGTTCCTAAAATCTGGCAAGAATGCATTTGGTACAAACTAGGGAAGTGGGGGGATGGTGGTGGAGTGGGGGGGTTGGATGGTGGAGAGCAGCTCTGTGCAGGGAAGGTGCCTTTCACACTGAGAGGCAGCCACTCTGTACTAGGTTAAATCAAGGGAACAGTCTCAGTGGTGTTACTTCACATTTGTCACACTTACTCCCCACCTTGTACCCGGGTACCTTAGGAGATGTTATCTGAAATGACCTGGACATGGTTCAGGTTTTAAACCATTAAGAGAAAGAGCTTAAATTAATGCATCTTTGAGTTGGAAGACGTTTAAACCAGAAAGAAACCCAGAAGGATAATGAAAAACGTTCCCCCCTCCTCTTCTATACCACATCAGATTGACTAATCCTCTGTTATGTGGCTTTACTTTGAAACAGATCATTCTCATTGCAACACGTTTAATGCTGCCAGCCACCACATGGTTATTTGGCAGCTATTTAAAGCTCAGATCATATTACTCTGTCGCAGTGCTAGGCACCCATGTTCCAACTGGTATACAACTGATCTAAAGAGAAATCAGCTTCAGGTTTTGTTCTCTGAAATTAAATGTGACGGCATGATCTCTATGATCCCTTTTACCCCTTTTTCTCTCTCTTTTTTTTTTTTTTGGTTGTATGCATTATTACTTTTTGGAACAGCATTTTGCTAGCACCACAGGGGAAATTCAGTTAGGTTGTCAGCCTGATATAGTGTATTATCAGACGCGTTAGCTTTTCCTCCCTCTTACATTTGCTTAAGAGCTTATAAACCACAGAGAATAAAAAGTGCTAAATAGAATGAAATGACCTGTCAAGGGTAGATATAGTATTTGTGAATGACTTA